ATAGCCTAGATGAAATTGAAAAGTTCCTGGAAATACAACCTACCAAGACTAAATCATATTCTGCCAAAGTTCAGTAGGTGTTTGATGTGAATCAATCAGTCTGTAGTTGTAATTTTTGGTGTATTCATGGGAGAGGATGTGGTATGCATCATACTCTGCTATCTTGGCAATCCCACAAGACTAAATCATAAAGAAATAGAAGATCTGAATAAATCTATAACTAGTAAGGGGACTGAATCAGTAATCAAAAATCTCCCAATAAAAAAAATCCTTGGACCAGATGGCTTTACTGATGAATTCTCCCAAACATTTAAAGAATAACTAACACAAGTCTTTCTCAAACTCTTTCAAAATATTGAAGATGAGTTAACACTTCATAAGTCATACTGTAAGGCCAATGTTACCATGATCCTGAAGCCAGACAAAGAAACTACAAGAAAAGAAAACTACAGACATATATCCATTATGAATATTTATGCAAAATCCCTCTACAAAATACTAGCAATCAAATTCAACAGCATATTAAAATGATTTTACATCTTGATCAAATGGAATTTATTGCCAAATTGCAAGAATATGTAAACTTATGAAAAGCAATCAATTTAATACACCACATTAATAGAATGATGAAAAAATTTGTAATTAACTCAACTGATGCAGAAAAAGCATATGACAAAATTGAACACCTTTTCATAATAAAACACTCAATAAACTAGGAATAAAAGGAAATTTCCTCAACATGATAAATTCCATCTGTAAAAAACCCAAAGCTAACATCATACTCAATGGTAAAAGACTGAAAAGTTTTCCCTTAAGATCAGGAACAAGACTAGAGGCCCACTTTCACAACTCGTATTTAGGGTAGTACTGGAAGTTAGTCAGGGCAATTAGGCAAGAAAAGGAAACATGAGACATCCAAATTGGAAAAGAATAATTTAAATTAAATCTGTTCACAGACAAGATCTCATATGTAGAGAACCCAGATATTACACACACACACACACACACGCACGCACGCGCGCGTAACTGTCAAAGCTAATAGATGAGTTCAGCAAAGTTGCAGTATACAAAATCAACACATAAAAATCAGTTGCTTTTTATTATTCACAGTAGCTAAGATACGGAAATAACCTAAGTGTTCATCCTTTGGCAGATGAATGTATAAAATAAATGTAACATGTATGTACAATAAAATATTTTCAACCTTAAAAAAAAGAAATTCTGCCATTTGTAATAACATGGATGAACTTGGAGGACATTGTACTAAGTGAAATAAGCCAGACATGGAAAGACAAATATCGTCTGATCTCACTTATATGTGAATTATAAAAATAATCAGTTGGTTTTCTGTACACTAACAGTGACCAGGAAAGAAAATTGATAAAACAATTCCATTTACAGTAGCATCAAAATATTTGGGAATATACTTAGCTAAGGAGGCAAGAGACTTGTAAACTGAAAATTACAAAAAAAAAATGCTGAAAGAAATGAAAGAAGACACAAATAAATGGAGAGACATTCTACATTCTTGGACTGGAAGACTTAATGTTAACATGACAAATTGATATACAAATTCAATGCAATCCTTATGAAATACCCAATTACATTTTTTCATACATAGGAAAACCTATCCTAAAATTCATTCTGTATCTTAAGGGACCCCAAATAGTCAAAACAATCTTGAAAAAGAAAAAATTCAGAAGATTCACACTTCCTGATTTCAGAATGTATTACAAAGCTACAGTAATCAAAACTGTGGCTCTGACATAAAGACAGTCATATAGGCCAATAAAATAGAATAAAAAGCCCCATAAATAAACCCTCACATATATGATAAAGTGATATTTAGCAGGGATGCCAAGACCATTCATGTGGAAAGGTCAATATTTCAACAAACAATTCTGGCAAAACTGGATCCACATATAAAAGAATGAAGCTAAACCCTTTATCTTACACCATGTAAAATAATTAACCCTAAACAGATCAAAGACCTGATTAAAGTGCTAAAACTGTCAAACTTTTAGAAGAAAATATGGGGAAAAAATTTATGATATTGGATTTGGCAATGATGTATTGACTATGACACTAAAAGCCCGGGCAACAAAAGAAAAAATTTTTTTGACTTTTTGACTTCATCAAAATTTAATACATTTGTGCATCAAAGAACACTATCAAGACTGAAAAGACAGCTCACAGAAGGGGAGAAAATATTTGCAAATCTTATATCTGATAAAGGTTTAATATTCAGAATATATAAAGAACTCCTACAATTCAACTACAAAAGAATATTTTTTTAATGAGCAACTGACTTGAATACACATTTCTGCAAGGACATGCAAATGACGGATAAAGACATATCTGCAAAGATATACAGATACTCATTATCATTAGTCATTAGGGAGATGCAAACCAAAACCTCAATAAGATACCACTTCTTCCTCTTAGGATTACTGTTATCAACTAACCAGAAAATATCAAGTGTTAATAAGGATGTGGAAAAATTGGAACCCTTGTGTATTGCTGATGGGAATGTAAAATGGTAAAGCCTCTGTAAAAAACAGTATGATAGATTCTCAGAAAGTTAAATGTAGGATTGCCATATGATCCAGCATTTCTACTTCTGGGTATATACCCAAAGGAATTGGAAGCAATGACTCAGATATTTATACAGCAGTGTTCATAGCAGCATTATTCACACTCACCAAAAGATAGAAGCAATCCAAATTTCCATCAATAGATGAATGGCTAAACAAAAGGTGGTGTATATTATATATGTAGACATAATGGTATAGTGTTAGTCTTAAAAAAGAAGGAGATTTTGACACATGTTACAATATAGATGAACCTTGAAAACGTTATGCTAAGTGAAATAACCCTGACACAAAAGAACAAATATAATATGATTCAGTTTATCTGAGATACCTAAAACATGAAAATTCATAAAGATAGAAAGTAGAAAAAGGTTACCAGGGATTGGGGAGAGGAAGAAATGTAAAGTTATTATTTTAGTAGGTATGGAATTTTGGTTTGGGATGATGAAAAAGTTCTATCATCATAGAGAGATGGCTGCACAACATTGTGTATGTACTTAATGCCACTGAATTGCACACTTAAACATGGTTAAAATGTTACATTTATGTTATGCATATTTTACCACATTAAAATTTTTTTTTTAATTCTGCACAGTCCCAGGTGTTACTAATGCTGCTGGTCTTGGGTCCACGCTGAGTAGCAAAGCTGTAGTATAGAGAAAAAAGGTATGTGAGTTCCTTAGGATATGGGAACATACCTTTTTATTTTTATAAACTAGTAGCTGATATATAAACTCAATATTTGCTTTGATTAATTCATGAAGGATAGGTAAATAAATATAATCTAACAGATAACTAGGAATCTTAATATAAGGCAGAATGCTTCAGTGAACACAATGGAGCTTTATGCAAAGTTCAAAAGCAAATCAGAGAAGGAGGTGGTTATTTTCAGGTAACAACAATGAGATAATTAATTCATGCTTTGCAAAACTATTAGTCAATGAATATTTGTTGTGCAAATGTGCCATTGATATTAAAAAGATTTATTTTACTTATTGTAATTGCTAATTCAGCTAACCAAAAATTATCAGACTAAACAAATAGAAAACTGGTTATATAGACATTACAGATCTTTAAAAAGAGGATTTATCTGGCTCAATGAATTTTCTTTGTTTACCTTGTTTCCCAAGTACAGTATGACAAGGACACGGTGTACTTCACCTGGAAATTCACCATTGTTGTAATCAGATATAAAGGCATGATCAGAAAATAAGCTTCACAAAGCACAGTTCTGAAAGTGCAGTTAGCTATTTGTTGAGGAGAGAAACTACATATGAGTTTGATGTAAATGAACAGATCATGCACTTACCAAGGTGAGTTTAAATTGTTTGGGATTTTTTTATGAATTTATGACTTTTATTAAATAATTGTTAATTTCTATCAAATGCAATTATGCATAGAGTCTATTTCATTACTTACACATATGTTAAATAACTGGATATGGTGTAACATCAGTATAGAAATTGTGAACATTTCTTGTGTGAAGTTACAACCTTTGGTTTACAAAAAAGGAAGAATATGCCAATCTGTATCATGACTTCCTTCTCAGGTGCTAAAACTATTTCTGACACTCTAGGATCATTCCTTTATGGACAAGCTTACTATTTGAAAATGTATTGGTTTTTACAGATGCTTTTGGTAGTATTTAATTAATCACTAATTCCACTCAAGCTTTTAAATCCATATTTTTATAATCATCTTAATATAGGTAATATGTTCTATGGCCTGACAAATCAGATTGAGTCAGAAACATCTGTATACATTTGCAATGAAATGATAATTTATATACATAATTGCAATCTTAAGACAAGATCCTAAAATATCATCCAGAGGAAGAATACATTATGCTTAATATGATTTTAGTAAGTGGGTTTTTAATGTTCTAATATTTAAGGGCTATTAATTCATATATGGTAAAAGTTCTAACTTGCTTCCATTTGGTAAACTAGAAAACCCTGCTCCCTCAAACTGCCAGCTAACAGAAACTACTGCATCAGTTTTTTACAGAGGAAACTAAACACTAGATAATTTAAAGATTTTCACCAAAAACAGTCACATCAGTGTCAGGGTAGGAATAAAATCCAATGTCCGGGGGAAAAAATGTGTTGTCCATAAAAGCTGACTTTCCTCCTTTTATTCATTTTTAGAATTTTTTGTCAGCTCCAAGTCTAAGCCCAAAATGAAGCAAAGAAGTTATAAATTTATGATAAAATCTGAATAGGTGAGCTAGATAACCAGAAACTTCATTTGAAGTTGGAAGTGGAGAGGCAAGGTAAAACTCAGCAACATGGTTTTTCAGTAGCTGTTAGGGATATAAAGAATGCTTTGTATCAGCTGATCAATAAAAGTTCACATCATCATGATATACTTGTTAATATTTTATTTCAGAAGAATTAAATTGTAAATAAGATGGCAGATTGTGAAAGAGCTGAAGAAATGCAAGAAAATTACCAGAGAAATGGGTAAGCTTTGCCTAAATTCTATGGAAACTGTTATACAACTTTAAATGCACCTTATCCGTTCCTCAGCTATAACAAAAATGTTTATAATTTTTTAAAAATATCAGTGCTGTTTGCATTTTGCTGGACTTCAACATAATAAGTGGTTTAATAGTAAATTTAGGAAGTGCAGTAGGTACAGAATTTATTGATTTAGTATTTACTTCAGATATTTATTCTTCTGAATTTCTTGTAGCTTACCCACTATATAGAGGGAAAATGCTTGAATGTTTTCATTTCAATTCTGTATGAATTCTTCATTCCATATGTAGTGCATTAAGTAAAAGAAAATATTGGATTATGATTATTTTTTCACTAGATAGGTGTCTATGTGTGTGTAAGTATATATGTTATAAAATTTCCTACAGCTGTAATTCATTAATTTAGAGATTTAAAATGGTAGTGGTTTAAAATCTTTTATTTCCACTTTTACCATAATAATTGTGTTACATTTAAATGTATGAACTGTAAAATTGGCTCCCTGTAGATTACTGGTTATTTAATATTCCTGAAATAAAATTTATCAAAAGAAAATAGCCTTCTGAATCTTAAGCTTTAAAATCCTCATTGGGTTGGGAGAAGGGATTGTGGGGCTTTATAATCTTAAAGCAGTATTTTTTGTCATCTATGAATCATCTCAGAGCAAAATGGTCCAGTACATAAGTAAATTATTAACTTCAGGTAGAATAAAATCAACTGACTTGTGATTTGTCAAAGCTGCCAGAACAATATGTTATAAAGCTGAAAAGAAGAATCAGAAGTTCATCCTTCTGTGACATCTTTTTTAGAAAAATTAATCTGATCCCCTTCACTCTTCTTTAAATGTTTTAGAATCGTGTGTGTGTGTATGTTGAATTGAAAGATTACAGATTTCCCTGAAATCAATAGATAAAATTTACATTTTCATCTGGAACTCCTTGAAATGAGTGAAAATAAATTTTCAATGGGGGACAAAATTACCAGTACACTTGTTTAATGTGTACTTAATAGAACTTCTTTCATTTAAAGCTCACAGTTGCTCTTGAACAATTTTTAACAAAGGGTTAAAAATTCTGATTCACCACTTCACACCCATTAGAATGGCTACTATTAAAAGATAGTAATAATAAAATTTAAAAAGTAAGTAGTGTTGGTGAGGATGTAGAGAAATTGGAAGTCTTATGCATGGTTCATAGGAATGTAAAATGTTGCAACTGTTACTGAAAACAGTGTGGTGACTCCTCTAGAAATTAAAAATAGAATTACCACATGATCCAGAAATTCTGCTCTTGGTTATGTATCCAAAACAATTGAAAGCAAGGACTTGAAGAGGTATTTATATACCCATATTCATTAACAACGTTATTCACAATAGCCAAAAAGTGAAAGCAACCCAAGTGTTCATTGCTGATGAATGGATGAGCAAAATATACAATGGTAGAGTATTTAGCCTTAAAAAGAAGGGAAATTCTGACATGTGCTACATCGGTGAACCTTGAAGACATTATGTTAAATGAGACAAAGTCATCAGAAGAAGATACAGAATACTGTATGACTCCACCAAAATGGGAGTACCCAGAGTTATCAGATTCCTAGAGACAGAAGGTACAATGGTAGTTGCAGAGGCTGGGGGGAGGAATTATTTAACAGATATAGAGTTTCAGTTTGGCAAGATGAAGAGAGTTCTATGGATGATTGATGGTGATGGTAGCACAACAATGTGATTGTACTTAATACCACTGAATTATACACTTAAAAATTGTTAAGATGGTCATTTCTGTGTTATATGTATTTTACCACAATAAAGAAAAATTGTGAGTTTCCAGTTGTTATCCTAACTAAAGATTGCCAGTAATGACTTACTTTCCCAGTGATTTTACTAAAAATCTTTGTGCGGTCTATCATTGTTTGTTTTTAAAATTTTGGCGTTGATATAAACTTCCTACCAGGATGCAGTTTGATACTTCAGCACAGTTTTAATTAGAAAATTTTGCAAATTATATTCACATTGTAACCTTTCCATTTTAAACATTTGTTTTTCAGAAAACTGCAAGAACAACTGCCCAAAGTAAGGCAGCAAGTTGTTGGACCTATTGAGATAGTAAGTGAAATCAGTTAGAAAGCATGTCTGTGTATCAGGAAGAATTTTAGGGAATGTCAATAGTGTATAGAATGATTGTGTGTGGTGATAGTTTACATCTGTTTGCCAGAAAAGAGAATTTTAAGGGAAGAATTCATCAAACTAATATTTCCAATAGAAAAATATATTAACAACCCATAAGTTCCACAATAAGAGATAAAAAAAAACATAATATCCATATAATGACCCAATTTCGAAAAAAAAACTATGTATGTTTATGTATGTGTCTGCATGCAAATGTGTGTGTGTCATCCATAAATATTATCAGAACTTATTTCTGAGTAGTGAGGAATTATGAGTGACTCTTAATATTGTATGTTTATATTTCAGTATTTTCCAATGATAATATATTGATATGAGTTGCTTTTATTATTTTTAAAATCTTATAAATTCTTTTAAAATAAAAATAATTATCTAAATATTTTATAAACCCCATGCATCAAAAACTGTATCAGCACATTTCTTTGAGACTATGTTCAGGGAATATTTTAAGGCATGTGTTCCTAAAGCATCCCTTCCACCTATCCTAGTCTCTATGTCAGCCTGGCTGTCAATGTCATTAGGAATACACACGAAATAGTACCTGTTTTTTCAAAAGTCTAAATTTTAAAAACCTAGAAAATAGCAGAACATAACAAGCTTTATTAAGGAGATAACACATTATTCTAGGGAAAGTTAGGAGCAGATACCCTCTTAGATCTGTAGTATGGGTACAGTGCTATGGCAGTAATTCCATAAATATTTATTAGCTATTGCATGAATAAGCAGAAAAACATGGAATTTTCTCAATCTGCCCTCATAAAATATGTACTAAGTTACTATTGCTATTATTCAAATCTGATTTGATTTCAATACCTTATACATTTTATCTTAACCTCTCTCAATAAGATACATAATCCACAATTTCAAGTCGTGTTCATCTTTTGGTTTTAGAATAGTGCTGTAGGAACCCGCTATAGAATACAATACAAGCATTCAGAATTGGCTTTCTGGTATTTCTTTCTTATTCCAAACAGACTTGAAAATTATTACAGACCTTTATTTACAAGAGAGATGTTGTCCTGGATAGAAAAAATTCAGAGGAATTTAAAATAAAAGTGAAAATTATGATCCATTACATTTGATGAACTAGTTTTTACTAGATAGTTACTGTTCACCACGCTTAGTTGTGTCATTGCTCTTACATTGATAAGCCTAGGGAGTTGAAAATTTGAAGATCAATTTTCATAAGCCATGATATTTCTTTAAGCCAAGGTAATTATCATTGCAGACTTTTCAAATATCTTAATTTATTTCAGAATCAACCAAATGGAATGAAATTTCTGATTTATACCCACATCTGACCTGACTTGTGTCACAGATCTACAATTTGTACTGATTTTTCTGCTTTATTTTTCAACAATTTCTTCAAAGTACTTTGTGAATCCTTAAGATCAGGAAGATTTTTTTTACTTTATATATAAATATGTATCCATGCTTTTATATGTCTATTTAATTTCTTCATCAATTTGTAAAAAAAGATGTTTACTTGATGGCAAAAGCTATATGTTAATTTTTGGTGTTTTGGATTTTTTTACAGCTTTTATTCTACCATGTTTTATTTGTTTTCCTCAGTTTCGCTTTGCTGATGGACTAGACATCACGCTCATGATGTTGGGATTACTGGCATCACTAATAAATGGGGCCTGTCTTCCTGTAATGTCACTGATTTTAGGAGAAATGAGTGACAACCTTATTAGTGGATGTCTAGTCAAAACCAACGCAAGTGAGTACAATATTTACTTTTCTATATTGCTAGGGACTCAAAAACATTCAGTAAAACAAACAAGCATTAAACTTATAATACAGATTGTTGTCTTGTGAAATAGTATCTATATAATATGTATTTAAGTCATTTATTCTTCTGTGTTACCAGGGACTAAATAACCAAAATCTGTATTTGTCAGCATTCTTCAAAGAAACAGAACCAGTAAGGTCTGTGTGTATATGTGTGTATGTGTAGAGAGAGAGAGTGTGTGTAAGAAAGAAATTTACCTTATGAAATTGGCTCACGTGATTATGGAAGCTGGCAAGTCCAAAATCTACAGGTGAATTTTTTTTTGTCAGGCTGGAGACCCAGGAGAGAACTGACATTGCCATTCAAGTCCAAAGGCTGTTTGCTCACAGTATATAAAAAATCATCTGAGACCCACTATAGCTCAACTTGTTTCTCTAGAAATTCTAGTCATTTTCTATCAGAAGTGGCAATTATATCAGTATTTAATCAAAAGCTTGGGCCATTCCAAGCCACTTCATATATAATGTACCCTTGAAAAAGAAGAAATAAAAAATGGCTAAATCTATCATATTGCTACTTGGGAGTTTTACAGTATTTGGATGTGCATGGCACTATATTATGCAGTAAGAAAAAAGAAAAGAACATGTAGAAAATTATAGTACTAGAGACAAATTCCCTGGATAAAGATAGGAGGGGAATCTAGTAATCAGGTGTGGGGAATCAAGTGTTTTCATATTTCTCATTATTACAGGTGTCCTTCATGTATCATTACCTTGGTAGCTTCCTATTACAGGGTCATGTCCTTTGAGGTGACATTATTTAGGTATAAATTCCAGCAATTCTCCTGTACACTGACATAGTGAGTATACAAGTCTTTTTTTAATCTGGTAGATATTGTAAATATTAGTAATTCCCTGGTATTTTACATACTTTTCCCCAAATTACATATTAGGAAATATCTTTATAGCTGTATATTATTATTGGGACAAATGTCTCATTAAAACCTGGACTGTCTTTTAGACACTAGCCTAGTTTGGTACAATGTACCTTCCTCTGTGCCCTGTTTGACTTTAACTACTAATTTATACTCTTATTTTCCACCTGAAGCCTAATTTTTCAAATGTTTCAGTCTTGTTTGAGTGAAATAAATTCACTTCTTCCATCTCTGAGTCCTTCCATGTGATGATATCCTTTCTACAGTTTAGTGATAGAGGCTAAAGATGTCACTTTATTTGTTAAACAAATGAAACTGCCAGTTCACTGAGCAAATATTTATTGATTGCCATCTCTCTCTCTCTCTCTCTCTCTCTGAATGAGTGAGTAAAAGAAGGAAGGGAAGGATGGAGGAAGGGAAGGGAAAAGGAAGGAAAGAAGAAAGGGAGAGGGAGAGAGGAAGGAAGGATAAACCTAGCAACCTAAGGCAGTCTGTTTGAATGAGAGTACTCCTTTGGTTACATTCGCTCTATAATTGATTGCTCTGTCAGCTTTAAATATGATAGTACATATCTGACTGATGTTGCTGTGTTTTAATTTTTGTTTTTGTTTAAGACTTTTCCATGTTTCTCAAGTTTCATTGTTGTGTTTTTTCAAATGTAGTTAACATATAAAGAGATTGATGAAGATTTAAATTTAGATAAATATGTGAATATTATTGGTATAATATACTATTAAAGAGAAGTATATCTTAAGGAATATGTTCTCAACCTTCTAACATTAGTTTTTCTGAAGGATAATAGAAGAGGATTATTTGCTTTGGCAAATGAAAATATGAATAATAGCTATCATTGATCAAGGGCCCATTTTTATGCCAGCACTGAACTTTTGTACATGCTACCTCTATTAATATAGTCTCCAAAATGAGATTATGCCATTTTTATGTGATTCTATGTACCATTTTTAGAAACAATATTTATTCTCTTTATTAGCTCAGTTAAATCGCATTAAAACTTTCTACTGAGTTTTGAAACTTCTATGATAATTCTGATATTTGTAATAAACTGCTTTAAATTTTTTCCTCCCACAATTCCTTGAGTGGAATGAAGGAAAAATCATTGTTTGCACATAAATAAAGATCATAGACATCATCATATGTAATGATATTGTGGTTATGCAAGAGATGAAGAGCATGATGTCTGCAATTCATTACAAACATTTATTATAGTCCTTTAAGAAAGAAAATTATAATACTGGACATTGACCACTGTTTTTTGCTGTTGGTGAAGTAACAACCTTGGTATACTAATTAATACATAATGTAGTTTTTTAGTAGAAGATATATAGAAAAATTTACATGGAAAACTGGTAACCCAAGGATTATTTTAAATACTGCTATCCTTATACCCAACATATTTCAATGAACTTCTTTTAAATTTTTCAGATGACTTCTGTGACTTTCACTTGTGTTCTTTGCTTTTCTTGGACTTTCTAAATTATTCCCTTGGGTATCGCAAACTGAATTCTAAATGCATAATCTCAACAGGAAAGGAAAATTCTATTACTATTACTTACACACCTGTTATCTGAAATTAAAGATGTCCTAAGGAATTCTTATCACATATGAGCTAAATGGTTAATATTTCCTTGTAATTTTTAATGTTGCATGTGTGCTTCTTGATACCAGAGATAATAATTTTAAATTTTAGGTTAAAGAATAGCAAATAAGATGATCATTAACCAGTGTGTAATCATTAAGTCCATTTTTTTGGGAATGCACTATATTTGGTTTATGGACTATATATAAAACATATCATGGCCAATTATAAATTAATTTTCTTTACAATTTAAAAAAATTTTTTACAGCAAATTATCGGAACTGTACTCAGTCTCAAGAGAAGGTGAATGAAGATATGATTGTGTAAGTCCAAATGAAGTATTAATATCATATTCAATGCATGCTGCATTATTCAAAATTTATAAGAAAAAAGCTGAAAAGTCTGTCTAATCATTAATTTTACATATAAATGATTAAAGCAAACATGTCCTCTTCTTTCATTAGGTATATAAAATATAATTACCACTTAAGTTTTTCTCTATTTAAATAGAGTACAGGTTCATGTGGTTTCACTTTTATTTATCGTCATCAATAGAAAAATTATTTTAGGATTTACATTTTTATACCAGTTTTGTTACCTAGAACTGAAGTTACATATCCTAGAGGTTAAATAACTTGCTTTTCCTTTTTTAAATTATTTTTCTTACGAAACTTACAGGAAAATGCCACTTCTGTAAACTTTAAAAGACAAAAAGATGTGTACAACAAATAGAAAAATTAAAAAGTAAATATAAATAGTATAGCTTTACTCAGGCTACTTTTAGAGGCTAATTTTTCAGGCTATTATAGTAAAGTTGTATTAAGACTAAAAATTATAAATTCTGAAATAGATAATTTATAAGAACATTCTTTTTTTTGTAGTTTTATGTATTAAGCAATATGCTTTCTTCTATCATGTGTTGAGTTTGTTAGAGAAATGCAAACTCACTGACTGTATTCACTGGATTTAGGTAATGTCTCACTAAAAATATCAGAGTCTTATCAGACCTAAGTGATGCCTTACTCTTTTCCCCCAAAAGTGAAGCGTCCATGTTGTACATCCCCAAGAGGCACATATTCTTAACATTTATAATATAGTATTTACTTTACTGTTGTTTCTCAAACCAGTATATTGTTTTGGAAATATTTGAGATATATGTTAAAAAAAAGATTCCATAGTCAAATTGGTTTAGGAAACACTGTATGACAGCTTCCTTGGACACACACAGGACAGATAAGTAGAGTAAACATTTAATTTAACCCATGTTTTCCAAACCTTTTTGACTATGGAAACTAAACATCCTGCTGAAGTAATCTTTTGATGAACAAACACATTTCTGGGAAACATTGTTTTATATAACTTTTTTGGTAGGGATAAGGTAATACCTCTGACATTTATAATAATCAGGAACTGAAGCATTTTATTCTACCTAAGTAATTTTCTAAAGATAATGACTCATAGCTTTATATAGGTTTAATGTTTTAATGTTGTCTCTGCCTTTGTCTTATTTATCAGACAATTATTCTGAAAATAATTGAATTTTTTTCATACTGAATTTAGATCATAATGACTAAATAGTTCCAAGATTGTTGCTGGTGAATATCTTTTGCTGTCAAGAATTAATTAATTAATTCTATATGAACTTTTAAGCAATTTATTCCTTCTTTTTTGCTACTTCTGATGTATCTGTTACAATCTATTGATAATGAAGGGGCAAACTAGATAACCAAGTCTTTGTTAGGTTAAGCTCAACTGAATTTAATGTAAAAGCTACCATAATAGTGGCCTAACCATGAGAGAAATTTATTTCTCACACACATAAAATTCTGAAAGTGGACAGTCTAAGGATGAAACATGACTTAAAAGTCATCAGAAACTAAGGATCCTCTGTCATATGACCACATCCATTTTAGCTGGGCATGAGCCACTTCAAAAAAAAAAAAACAGGTTCCCTTATTTAGGAAAAAGATCAGATCAGATATTGGATGATAGATTAGATAAATGGCAATTTCTGCTGTATCAAGTTGTACCTAAAATAATTCCCAAATTGTGTACAGTGGAACTAAGGGATGTTAATAGATGATATGTTTTAAAAGGACGGGGGTAAGGGGCAAGGGGATGTAGTGTTAATTGGTTAGCTGGTCTGAGACATCCTCGGTTGAACAAAATTAAACTATTTCATTGCTTTGGGATTTTTTTAGTATTTTCGTGTGTATTATCAATTTTGGCAGGGGGCGGGGGGCGATTCACTAAGTATGCAGGGTTTCCCAAACCTATTTGGGAACCCTTTTTCCTCAGAAATATTGCCAGTGTGATTCAGATCATAAACTCAGGATTCAAATCATATGTCAGGATTCAGGTTGTGGGCCCCACCAATTTCTAGCTAAAGAGTCTGTCAGGCAACTTCTATAATAACTTCAATTTCTTCATCTGTAAGATGTGATATAATACTTTCTGGAGATTCAATGATACTTAGATATGTAAAGGGCCTGGCATAGTATTTAACACATATTAAACACTAAGTGGAGCTGTTAAATCCAATCTTAATTTGCATGCAGTTTTGAATCAGAAGCCTTAGGCCTTGAGAATAGTTTGATTTCCTGATGCAAAATAAAATGCCATAAAAAATAAATTGCATGTGTTTCTTTGTTTTTTTGTTTGTTTGTTTTTTTGTGTGTGTTTCTTTGTTTTTAAGAATAGTCTTTTTAAAAGGCAATCAGTGCTTCTATAAAAATTCTTTTAATTACTTTTTCTAATTAAATGCTTAATATTCTCATTGTAGAAGATGTGAAGAGATAAAAATGCAAAAAGAAAATTAAATTTTAAATCTATAAATTTCTTTATAATCCCACTACTACTGGATAATGAATATTAATTTTGGTTTACATTATTACAGCTTTTTTACATATATAAATATACATATATAATTCTAATGTAATTGGAATTATATTGTTTCTATGATTTTTAATAGCTTATTGAAGTATAATTTACTTACAAAACTCACCAGCTTTAAGGGTACAATTCAATGATTTCTAGTAAATCTATAGAGTTGTGCAACCATCACCACAACCCACTTTAAGAACACTTCCGTCATTCTATAAAGATTCTTCTTTACAGTCAATCCCCACTTCCACCCCCAGCCCCAAGAAACTACTTATCTGCTATCTTTAAAGATTTGCATTTTCTGGATATTGCATGTGCATGGCAACAAATAAAATGTAGGGTTTTGCACCTAGCTTCTTTTATTACGTGTAATGTTGTTTGAGGTTCACCCATGTTATAATACAAATCAGTAGTTTATCCCTTTTTATTGCTTAGTACTAATCCATTGCAAGGATATATCACATTTAGTTTATCTGTTCACCAAGTGATGGACTTTTGGATTGGTTCTTTTTTTTTTTTTTTTTTGCTATTAAAAAAAATGCTTCTGTAAACACTGATATATAAATCTTTGCCTGGACATATGTTTTTATTTCTCTTGGGTAGATACCTAGGAGTGGAATTGGGTAGATACCTAGGAGACCTAGCTGGGTCATATAGTAAGCTTGTTTATCTTTTTGAGAAACTGCCAAACTGTTTTCCAAAGTAACTAAACCATTTTGCTTTCCCACCAAACAATGTATAAGGGTTCCAGTTTCTCCACATCTTCACCAATACTTTCAATTCTGTCTTTTTTATTATATCCATTGTGTAGGTATGAAGAGGTATCATATTGTGACTTTAATTTGCATTTTCCTAGTGACTAATAATGGGCATTTTTTTTCATTTCCTTTTTTAGGCATTCATATATTTCTTTGGTGAAATGTGTATTCAGATATTTTATTTATTTTATTAGTTGCTGTTTCTATTCTTATTATTGAATTGTAAGAGTTCTTTATAAATTCTTGATACAAGTTCTTTGTCAGATATATGATTTGTCAGAAAATATACATATTTTCTCCTAGTCTGTACCTAGTCTTTTCATTTTCTTAAAGATTTCTTCTGAAGCATGAAAGTACATTTTGATTAGGTACAATTTATCAAGTTTTTCTTTAATGGATTTTTCTTTTGGATTTAAGAATTCTTTGCATAACCTAAGATCATGAAGATTTTCTCCATTTTCTTCTAGAATTTTCAACATTTTAGCTCTCACTCTTAGGTTGGTGATCCATTTTGAGTTTATTTTTGTGACTTGTGAGAGGTAAGAAAGAGTCTAACTTCTGTTTTGTATGTGGCTATGCATTTGTTCTGAGACTGTTCCTTAGGAAAGCTATTTTTTCTACATTGAATTTCCTTTGTACCTTTGCTAAAAATCAAATGCCCATAAATGAAAGGGTTAGCTTCTGTTCTCTCATTTTTGTTGCACTTATTGTCATGTCTCCCTTATGGTAGTATCAGACTGTCTTAGTACTACAGTTTTAGAGTTAAATAAATAAAATCAGGAAGTGGAGACCCTCCAAATTTAATCTTTTTAAACATTATTTTAACTTTTCTGAGTTCTTTTCATTTGTACATATACTTTGAGATTAGCTTACAAATTCTGAAAACTAGCTTGCTGGGATTTTTGACAGGGGTTGATTGCATTAAATCTATAGATCAGTTTGGGGAGATTATCATCTTACCAACGTTGTATCTTCCAATCCATTTATTCAGATCTTTTTAAATTTCTACCAACAATATTTTATAGTCTTCATTGTACAAGGGAATGTCTCTGTTGGGTGACTCAGAATTTTTGCCACTCTGCACATATCCATAAATTATCATGAAAACAACCCTAGTATTGATTTTTGGATTACCAATAAATTTTATCTAGTAGGCAAATTTGCCAACACAGAATCTGGGGATAATGAGGCTCAACTATATATTTGTCTGTGTTTTTCTTAGTACTTTATTTACCTGGCTCTCCAGCTACCTCATTTACCACTTCTTAACTTTCTTTGCCAGCTCTTTGTCTTCATCTTAAACTCTACCATGTATGGAGAGTCCCTGAGAGTCCCTCAGTCCTTGGTCCTCTTCTCTTCTTTATCTACACATCATTCTCTTTCTCTGAGGATCATCTCAGCCAATACTTTATTTTAATTGCCACTTATAATCTGATGACTTTCAAATTTCCATCTCCACACTAGACCCCTCTCTAGCACTTCAGGCTTCCATTTTCAACTTCTTACTGGATTTTCACTTTGATGTTTAATAGGCATCTCATGCTTATGTCTATATCAAAATATTTGATATCTCCTGCAAATCTGTTCTTCTCTCAGTCTTCCACATCTGTAAATGGCACCCCATTCACCCATTTGCTCAAGTCAAAATAGTATTGCTCTTCTTGCCTTTTTGTGGTTGACTCCATTTGTCCTTTTGGATCCTAGTTTTAATACCACTTCCTCAAAGAAATTTTTCTTAACTGCTTTATTTATCTGCATGAGCTTACCCACCACTTATTCCCTGACCTAGCACCCTGTTTAATTCCTTCATCATAGAGCAATGCAAATTTCATATATACATTATAATTTGAGTTCTGTGTACATTACAGAGCGCTCACCACCAAAAGTTTAGTTTGAATTCATCACCACACAGTAGACCTCTTTACCTATTTCATCCTCCCCCTTTGGTAACCACTATTCTGTTCTCTGAATCTATGTGTTTATTTTTTGTTTGGTTTGGTTTTTTCATTTATTTTGCTTTTTTGAAATATTCCACAAATGAGTGGTCATTTCTTCCTCCATCTGACTGAATTGCACTTAGCATAATACCTTCAAGGTCCATCCATGTTGCTGCAAATGGCAAGATTTTATCTTTTTATGGATGAGTAGTAGGCCATTGTGTGTGTGTATGTATATATACCACATCTTCTTTATCCATTCATCTGTTGTTTCCATATCTTGGCTATTATACATAATGCTACAATGATCCTAGAGGTGCATATGTCTTTTCAAATTAGTGTTTTTGTAATCTTCAGATAAATATCCAGAGGCGGAATAGCTAGATCATATGGTAGTTCTAGTCTTAATTTTTTGAGGACTCTCCATTCTGTTTTCTGCAGTGGCTGCACCAGTTAAAATTCTCATCAACAGTGCAGAAGGATTCCCTTTTCTCCACATCCTTGCCAACACTAATTATTTCTTGTCTTTGTGATAATAGCCATTCTAATAAGTGTGAGGTTTTACCTCATTGTGGTTTTCATTTGCATTTTTCTAGTGATCGGTAATATTGACCATCTACCCATCTGTATATTTTCTTTGGAAAAGTGTCTATTCAGATCCTCTATACATTTTTAATGGGTTTTTTTGTTGTTGTTATTGAGTTTTATGAATTCTTTTTATATTTTGAATATTAACCCCTTATGGGATATATAATTAGTAAATATCTTCTAGTCAGTAGCTTGTTTTTTCATTGCATTGATAATGTACTTTTTTGTGCAAAACTTTTTAATTTGAATAGTCCCATTTGTTTATTTAAGAAGTTTTCTGACTCTAAGAATTTATCCATCTCTTCTAGGTTGTCCAATTTTTTGGCAAATAGCTGTTCGTAATATTCTCTTATAATCCCTTGTATTTCTGTGGTATCTGTTGTAATTTATCCTATTTTGTTTTGGATTTTGTTTATCTAAGCTTTCTCTCCTTTTTCCTTAGTAAGTGTAGCTAAAGTTTTGTCAATTTTGTTTATCTTTCCAAAGAATCAGCTCTTGGTTTCATTGATCTTTTCTGTTTTCTTTTTAGTCTCTATTTTATTTATTTCTGCTCTGATTTTTATTATTCCCTTTGTTCTACTGACTTTGGACTTCATTTGTTTTTTCTTTTTCTAGTTCCTTTAGGTGTTAAGTTAAATTGTTTATTTGAATTTTTTCTTGAGGTAAGCCTGCTATAAATTTCCCCTTAGTACCACTTTTGCTGCATCCCATAGATTTTGGTATGAAGAGACTACATTGCTTATCTGGTCTCCTACTCTTAGATAATTAGGATATCTTCAGTTTTAGGTATTGTTATTAATGCTACAGTGAACATTCACCTTGGTTAATCTTTGTACATATTTTCCTTAGGCTAAGTTCCTTAAGTTGAAATTTTAATTTGATGCTGTATTTATATTTGAAGCATTTTATCAAATGCTTTTGACTACTATCATTTCTTTACCCTTCTGTTTCACATACAGCTATCATAATTACTACAATGTAACATTTTCAAATGAAAGTATTAAAAAAATACTGAAAGAAGATATAAATAGCAATTATGTTTTGAAACACTAATTTTTGCTAACAATGTAAGAGAGACATACTCTAGGTGTCTTACAAGGGAAATCTAGATTCCTACATGAGTATATTTCACTCATTCTCATAGTGGTTTATTTTTAGTTATCTTATTATAGACTCTAGCACAAGTTCTCTTCATCAAATATTCTGACAGATTTCATTTTTTGATAATAAGGGAAAAATTTTGCTTTGGTCTCAGTAACATTTCCAATAATCTTTTTCTTTCCAGGTTGACCCTGTGTTACGTTGGAATAGGAGTTACTGCCTGGGTTTTTGGCTACATGCAGATTTCCTTTTGGGTTATGACTGCAGCACGACAGACCAAAAGAATTCGAAAACAGTTTTTTCATTCAATTTTGGCTCAGGACATCAGTTGGTTTGACAGCTGTGATATTGGTGAACTTAATACACGCATGACTGAGTAAGAGGATAACTGTATGATACATCAACTTTATTGTCTTATATGATGTATAAATGAATTAACTGCATTTATTTACTTGTTTCAGTGACATCAACAAAATCAATGATGGTATTGGAGACAAGATTGCTCTGTTGTTTCAAAACATGTCTACTTTTTCTATTGGCCTGGCGATTGGTTTGGTGAAGGGCTGGAAACTCACTCTGGTGACTCTGTCCACATCTCCTCTTATAATTGCATCAGCAGCCATGTTTTCTAGGGTAGGCAATATGGCTAATGCAGTGTTGATTGGAAGCAAAAATGTAAACTAGATATTTTACTGAGTTTATCCAAAAGAGGCTTTTCTACTTATTTTCTGTATCCCAAAATGGACAGGAATATTGTATGTCGGAAATACAGTACGCTTTCTATCTTCAGGTTATTTGGCTACAGTGAGGTTTAGTTGTAGTATCTTACTAACGTTAAAAAACATTCTTCTTCGTTTAGAGCCTAATACAGTTTCAAACAGTATGGATACAATTTTATGCCATTGTACGTTGGATACTGGGAAAGCTCTGTGTGCTAGATTCCCAGACAAATGTGTTTCAGTTCATTTCATTAGAACAAAATGAGAAAATCCTAAAACAGTAAACACTTCAGCATTTTTTTAGGTCAGCCATTTCAAGTTTATATTTTTATAGGGCTCTGAATGACATTTAAAATATTTGCTAATGTCTATTTTATGTACTATGTAAATCTATTTCAATTTTTTCTGTTTCAATTTTTAAAACAAATTTTGTATTTGCATTTTAAATTGTATTTTCAGCACTGATATAATTAATACTAATCTCTTTATAAGATATTAATCTATTTACAGCCTAGTTTTTAAACCAGTGCTCTATGTGAAGTGCAAAATCAACCAATATATCCCTAATATCTCTCTCCAAATTAAATCTTTGGCACTTCTACCAAAGTGTATACCCATTTCCTAAATTGGAGGCAAAGCGTATTCTTGAGGGATGGAGTTTTGTTTTGTTTTGTTTTGGGGTGTTTTTTGAGTCTTAAGTTTTCCAAAGCTAATTGTTCTCTATGGAAGTTAAAGCCATAACATTCACTGAATTTATTTGCTGGCAATATACAAATTCAACCAAACAAGAATTTTCAGCAATAAAAATATTCTGTGATTGAATACTTCCTTAACAATAGACTGAGGTGTTTAGACAACAGATCTTTATTTAGTGTGACTTCTAGTGTTGACCTTGTAACCCTTGTCAAAATCTTCATCCCCAGCTTATTTGAAATGAGGACCCCTAAGTATGAAGATTAACCCAGTGTGTTACTAAAATCAGGGCCTTAACTGAGCAAGAAGTGAAGTGGACAAGGGGTTAAAAATAATAGCAGTGGGGAAACTAAGTTTTGCTATTGTATTGACTGATTGTAAATCGGTAGCAAATAAAGGTAAAAATTATCCAAATGACTAAAGAAGCCAGCCTGGATTGTTTCTAGATTCCTTCAGTTCAATTTAATTGAGCACATGTTTATGTAATACTGGTATGTACAAAGCATTTTGCTACATGCAGCTTCCCCTCCAGTGATACATGAAGGAAATAACTATCTTTATTAGATGAATTCAGAAAATAATGAATATTACTCAGTTTATGCTACTTTCTGCTTTAACAAATATCTGAGCATGTCTTAACATAAAATCAGTTCCTGTTATGTGGAATGTATTTTGAAAGTGGGTAGATTTTTTTATGTTAGCAAGCAGTAGTTACAGACTCACAACTCTGAGGACAATTTCCCTGCTCCTTTTCGTTGAACTGTTGTGCTAAATTACTAAATTAAATCCTTTACTAATTAAAGAAGTGGTAAGTGGGATGTATTATAGAGAAAAAGGCACATTCTGATTTAAATTTTGAAGAAAGCAGGTAAACCTGCCTAAAATCACCAAGATTTTATAGAGATACAGCATTTACTAGGCAGGCTGCGTTATGCAGTAATAGCTTCAGGAGTCACACTCCAGACATGTGCAGGATCATATTCCTCTTTCTGCCACAACCCTGTCTCTCATACCCTCTGGAAGTCTTGACTGTTTTTACATAATAACAAATCAAATCAAGTCAAATCAGGCTTACTAACTTCCAGAGTGCGATTAAGAAGAACTATGTTCCTAATATCCTTTCTCAAATCAAGTTTTTCTGAACTATGTTAATATAGATACTCATTTTCTAAGGTTTTGAAAATACGTAGAGAAAACAGTGAAGCTCTACTAGAAGGAAAAGTAGAGATTTAGATTCCAGGTTACATTAGGCTAAGCTCTTTCACTGCTGAGACTTTAAGAAGTCAGTATCTATGACCATTGGTTTCTTCATTTGCCAAGTAATAGAGTTAGAATAAGTAACAAGTACCTTCTCAATAATAAAATGTTATTCTAGATTCTACTTGAATTAAATTCTTTGCACACTGTTACTGCCCCAGGGTTATTCTTTGGTTGACTGTGATCTTTGTTTATTACAGATAGTCATCTCATTGTCTAGTAAGGAATTAAGTGCTTATTCCAAAGCTGGGGCTGTAGCAGAAGAAGTCTTGTCATCAGTCCAAACAGTCATAACCTTTGGGGCCCAGGAGAAAGAAATCCAAAGGTCTGTTCCTTTAATTATGACAATATGTGCTAGGTTTTGTTTTCCCCCATGGCTATTACATTGTGTTTGTCTTTTTAAGGTATACACAGAATCTAAAAGATGCAAAGGATGTTGGCATTAAAAAAGCTATAGCTTCGAAACTCTCTCTTGGTGCTGTGTACTTCTTTATGAATGGAACCTATGGACTTGCTTTTTGGTATGGAACCTCCTTGATTCTTCGTGGAGAACCTGATTATACCATCGGAACTGTTCTTGCTGTAAGTCTTGTTTGAGAACAGAGGTAACTGGCCTAGATAATCTTTTCTTACCTAGAGTTTAGTAAGAATTTCTCTTTGAATAACAGTGAATATTTAAAGATGAATGTTTTTACTAAACAAATATTTATTTCCTTCAAATGATTTGTAAACATCTTTAAATTACAGTTATGAATTGGCGGGATTTACTCACCTAGCATGTTTTAGTGTCTTCTAAATCATAATTGAATTCTCCACTGAGAAATAAAGTTTTCTTAATCCAGCAGTCAAAAAGACCAGTCTCTAGTGAGACTTTTTCCTTTCCATCTTGCTGAGATAAGATGACACCTACATTCACCTTGCTACAGGTCTTCCAGAAATATTCTGTAGATTGGACTCTCCTGCCTTCTTCTGTCCTTTCAGCATATAGTAATGTTAAAAACAGACTATATACAGCTCTATCCAACATCACAACTTAGAGTTTTTTTTAAACTCTTAAGGATTATGCATTAAATTATAATTTATTCAATTATCCTCCCAAGTTTCAATGATAAACAGATCAGTTCAGGATTAAGAATCATTTGTCTTTCTGAACTAAATTCATCTGCTCTGTTCAACTTAAGTCATCTTTTGAACTTGAGACTTTTTTTTTAAAACAGTAAGTTCTTCATTTATTTCTTATAAATAAAACTTAAGCCTGAGGAATTTTTAGCTCATCTTTTCTCCTCAGTTTATGCGTGACTGTAGGTGAATGACTTGCAAAGTTTTAGCTTCCTCATCTGTACGATAGGGAAAATTACACTTAGCTTGTGGAGTTCTTTGCTTATCGACTTTTGGCAGAGATGTGTCTGTCTGAAAATGGACAAGTGTCCAGTAATACAAAAATTCAGACAAATTTTGGAATAAATAATAGAATGTCTCTAAGATAATGGAATCTATAACATCCTTCTCCTTAAAGTTGAGGAGTTAACCAGCAAGGAGGGAAGTGCACATGACCTCCTCACCCATCCAGGTTTCTATATGGCCAGTGCTCCTCAGTAAGCAGATTTTTCTGCTCAGCTTCCCAGCAGGTGTTAACAAGATTGTGGGATAATTAGAAGTTGTTCTACATTAGGAAAAGGCCAACTGCAGTTAAATAAACTAATGTTTCCTTTATATTTGGCAGCATCTTCCATTCTTTCCTACCTGATTTCTGAGTCTCAACTATGTATGTACTTCATTCTGTTGTCCCTCTTTTTTTTTATAACATTTTTTATTGATTTATGATCATTTTACAATGTTGTGTCAAATTCCAGTGTTCAGCACAATTTTTCAGTCATACATGGACATGTACACACTCATTGTCACATTTTTTTCTCTGTGATTTATCATAACATTTTGTGTATATTTCCCTGTGCTATACAGTATAATCTCGTCTATCTATTCTACAATTTTGAAATCCCAGTCTATCCCTTCCCACCCTCTGCCCCCCTGGCAACCACAAGTCTGTATTCTATGTCTGTGAGTCTATTTCTGTCCTGTATTTACATTTTGTTTTTGTTTGTTTGTTTGTTTGTTTTTGTTATTTAGATTCCACATATGAGCGATCTCATATGTTTTTTTCTTTCTCTTTCTGGCTTACTTCACTTAGAATGACATTCTCCAGGAGCATCCATGTTGCTGCAAATGGCGTTATGTTGTCGGTGTTTATGGCTGAGTAGTATTCCATTGTGTAAATATACCACATCTTCTTTATCCAGTCACCTGTTGATGGACACTTAGGCTGTTTCCACAGGGAGGAAATAAATACAATAGAGATTAACAAGACCATAGAAAAAATCAACCAAACCAAAAGCTGGTTTTTTGAAAATGTTGTCCCTCTTATATAGCTGAAAAAGAATAAATATTATTTTTTGTTCCCATAGGTCTTCTTTAGTGTAATCCATAGTAGTTATTGCATTGGAGCAGCAGCCCCTAACTTTGAAAACTTCACTATAGCTAGAGGAGCTGCCTTTAATATTTTCCACATTATTGATAAGGTAAGACTTCTAATAGCTTTAAGAGATAACTATCATTACTGCAAGAAGGAAGCGAAAACATAGGCACACTTATTTCACTAAAACAAAGAGATGGGCAAAATCTATGTTGCCCAATTGGCTATGGAAAGAGATTGTTTTAACTTTTCTACAAAGAGATTGTGTTTACTGAAACCTTTATATGTAACTCAATACACTTCCAAAGTAGAAAGGAAAACACCACAAAAGAAAACCCATCTTTAAGCTATTTTTAGGATCTAGAGAATGTCCGCTCAGTACCTTTAAGATTTTTAATGTCCTCCTTGTTTTTTTAAGAAACCTGCTATAGATAACTTTTCAACAACAGGATATAAATTGGGATGCATAGAAGGAACTGTGGAATTTAAAAATGTTTCTTTCAGTTATCCATCAAGACCATCTATCAAGGTAAGTAAAATTTAATTTATAGAATTGTATCATTTTCTAATACTATCTTCCATTGGCTAGGATCTCCTTTTGTGAGATACTTAGGGTCAGTTTGACCAAGATTTGGCTACTTTGCTTAGAGACTTGAGAGACAGAGAGAGAAAGAGATGGAGAAAGAGAGAGAGAGGAAAGAAGGAAGGATAGATCAGCAAATGGATGAATAACTCTGGAAGAGTTAGTTACATTTTGCATCCTCTTGTCTATATTCAGCTGGCTAAAGCATTTTCAACTCCCTGGAATTCCTTCACTCTGGATTTGGGAGCACACCGTTTTGTCCCTTTCCCTTCTTACTTTCCTAGGGTTTTTACTAAACCAACATTTGTGCCTCAGTTACTTTGTCTCTTACTTTTACACATACACACGCACACACACTAAGGCATGCACACACACTCAGCGTAAAGTGCATCCTCCTGTCTCTACCATTCAGCCTTTGACAAGTTCTTGTAAAAATGTCTGTCTCTTCTATTGTCTTCCTTCTTTCAACTTGTTAGTGTATTTATCCAAAAAAGTGGTTAGTGTTAAAGATTGCAAAGAGTAATTACTAATGGAACATCTGTTTCATAGAAAAAGGATGACATGATTTTAAGTGAAATTGGTAAACTTACTAATGCCATCAACTTTTAATATCTTTTGAAGTGTCCAAATATTCCCTACATAATTTGCATCAAAAAAGATCTACCTATTCCTACTCCCTTGTTTGTCTCTAAGTCTTTTATTGACATTCTCTTTTGAAAGCCCTTGATTTTTAAAAATTTTGTTACTTAATTACCATTGTTGGAATAATATTGTCTTCTATCATTTTTCTTAATATAAATAGAGCACTTTAACACCATTTTACAACTACATTTGGGTTGGCTTCCTGGAGACTTAAGCACCAACTGGGCCGTTATATTGCATGGTAAAGCGCTCTCCAGGTTTTAAACAACTATTTTTTTAACATGAATATTTGAAGCATAACCTTTTTTAAGTGAAAAATGAATAATTACCCAAAAATGTCCACCAACTTTAAATAAACAAAACAGATTCTTCCAAAGAAAGAATAAGAACAAATTCTAGATAAAAAGTGCAGGTGGGAGAGAAGGTACTCCCACTAGGGGTCCCCGATTTCTCACCTTCTTTAGAGAATATTTTAACCTCTGAAGGTTTTAGTTTTGGCTTATTTAAAGAATCTATTTCTTTATAAATGAGGAGTTAAAAGTGAGAGAATCCAAGAGGATAGTCCCATGTTTGGGGCAAATGCAAGCAAAGATAAGTGGGAGTTTCTCAATGGGATTACTATCATCATTTGGGACAGTAATTATTTGTGAGGTTTTGCTCATATTGCAGGTCCCAGGGACACTAAATGCTGGTAGCAACCCCCAGTTATTGGAAAAACTTTAAAAGTGCTCCCACCCAAATTGAAATGTCCTGGTGAGATCCACTGGTGAAATCCCATTCATAAGAGTCCCTAAAAAGTCTGCCAGTTGCTTTACTTTGGAATATATTTTGCAATAATGTTAAATATATTCTAAGAAAGAACTGCCATAAGTAACTCACAGAGATATCTGGCAAGATTTCATTCAGTTATTGCAAGTTAAAAGATAAAACTTTCAGTACTGCTCTTTCAAATAGTATTTTCAATGAAAGTACTACTTCATTGGTAGTCATGAAATTCATATAAACTATTTCAGTTGAAAATATGAAAAAAATTTTGCTATTAATAGTCTGTGAGTATGCTTAACTTAGATCTCCTCTTTGTATAGAAAGATGACTAGAGTTTTTTTACTATTATTTTCCAAAATTGTAGGTTATTACTATACAGGTGCATGAAACAAACATAAGATCTAAATTTGTTTTTAAGTGCCAAAGAAATTTGTTTTCTATTTATAATTATACATTAAATTTCTGAAAACATATAAATAGTAATCGTACTTATCCTAGTTTTATGAAACTTTTCTCCCATACATTCCAATAGGTTCTAAAAGGTCTGAATCTCAAAATTAAGTCTGGAGAGACAGTGGCCTTGGTTGGCCCCAACGGCAGTGGGAAGAGTACAGCAGTCCAACTTCTGCAAAGGTTATATGATCCTGATGACGGCTTTGTAAGTGTACCTAGCAAAATCATACACAGTCCACATGATGAGCGCTTACAGCTATGTCAACTTTTAATTTTTAACAATGAAGCTAGGATACAAGCCGTATTATTTTCCTTCCTGCATATTCATTCATTCAACAAATATTTATTGTGCACCTACTATGTTCCACTTACTGTTCTAGGTGCTGGGAATACATTGGTAAACAAAGCATAAAAACTTCTCTACCCTCATGAAGTTTACATTTTAATAAGTAGAGGGAGATAATAAATAAAATAAGTAAATTAAGTAATATGTGAAAGAATAAATGCTGTGGAGAAAAATAACACATAATTTGTAGTACCCAGAACTTATCAAGAGTTTCAGTTTCTCAGAACATCCCAGAAGAATAATGTCTGTAGGAAATATTCTCTCCTATTTTTTCTTTAATGCATATGTTGCACTTAACTTTCTCAGCCTTGTAAGTGGCGTAGAGAACGAGACTGTGATAGTCACAGATGCATAATTCTTAATGCTTCTATTTTTTAACTGTTATTTTTAAAAGAAAATCTACTCTTCTAGAGCCTGATTTCACTAAATTTGACCTCTTTAAGTCTTCATTTGGAGTATAGTAGACTCATGTATCTATGCTAATATTGAACCAATAAATTACTGGATAAGCATTCCATATATAAAGCAGTTTCATAGAATACCCATGCCCAGACAGAATGCCAGTTGGTGAGAAATACCAAAGTTATAATTATCAAACCTTGGCTTCTGTCATTGGAATATGTTGGAGCAATGGGTAATGGCATTATCTATGGGAAAGACAGGGTTAATTTACTATTATTCATAGCAGTGAGTAGAATACACTTTTACCTTTTGCAAGGGAGTAGAGTGTCGAAGGGAAAGTAGGGTATTTGTAAGAAAAAAATGCAAAGGTCAGATCAGTCTTTAACAAAACAGAAGTTTATTACATGTGTCTACATGATAACATATATGGCTCCTAGAATACATATCTTCATAATACCTAATTTGTGGATCTTGGAATAAAGATATTCAGGTGGCAAGATTTTAAGCCATTTTTTTTGAGGTTTTATTAGTTCCCATTACCAGGAAAATTCTGTTGGCAATATTCATGCTATAAATATTTTGTCAAAATATAGTCAGTCTTCAATTCCTAAAAAACCTTGCTTCTCAGCTTGTGTTTGGGATTAGTAAAAAGGACTCTAAACCCAATGTGGTGAAAAGCATTACAACATGATTCATTCCTTTGAATTGGCAGATCACAGTGGATGGTAATGACATCAGAACTTTAAATGTGCAACATTATCGAGAACATTTTGGAGTGGTCAGCCAAGAGCCCGTTTTGTTTGGGACCACCATTAATAACAATATTAAATATGGACGAGACGGCGTGACTGATGAAGACATTGAGAAGGCAGCAAAGGAAGCAAATGCCTATGATTTTATAATGGAGTTTCCCAGGGTAAGTACACTATGTAGCCTACGTCCTTAGCTTAAAGCTAAAGCACCAAAATATTCCAAAATAAAATAACAAAATGATAACTTTTACAGAGTAAAGGGAGTGTGATTAGTTTTTGCATTGTCCTAGGTGAAACATCTATAAATGAAAGAGCATGGTAACATCCAAAAGAAGAAATACATCATTGAATGGTCAGTTTTTAATCATATTTAGTTCTTACTGGTTCACAATGCAAATGTAAAAGAAAAAAAATAGAGGATACATTAAAATACGTTAGAGGATATGTAAAAAGAAATATAAGACAAAATTATCACTCCCAGCTGAGAAATTATGTATCTTCATAATGTTGATTTGCAAGGCCATCTTGTGGCTAAGAGTGGGAATGTCACGTACTGTTCAGATCGGTTCTGTGATAAGGCAAAAGGTAAAATATCATTGTTTTTAGAAGTACATGGAGCTAATATTGGACAGGAAATGTGAAATTATAGTTGAATTTTTGATATTAGGACATGTAAGATCCTAATGGGTATTTATAATTGCTAGATAGCTATAAAAACTTTTCTTGCATTTCTCAAAGTATCTGTTCATCAGTATCATCTGAAATTGTAGTGAAATATGAAGGATGAGATTTGAAATTAAACTACAGATAAAATTCTGCCATCATGGAAGACAACAATAACAAAAAAAGTTTGTTTTAAAGGATATATTTCACAAACCACACTCATGATAATTTTGTACTTACTTTTGTTTTTTTTTCATGAAAACTTTTGTTCTGCCAATTATTACCTCCTACCCTCGTTATTTAGGGTCATAACTAGGACACTAAGGGCTTGAGGTCATTCTTTGCCTTGTAGTTTGGGAAAACGCAGACTTCCTTTCTTTGATTTTTTTTTCTTCTTTTCTTTGATTTTTTTGACACTTTCAGTGACTTCCTTTCCTCAAAACAGCAGCGATCTTCAGTTTCCCACCTGGAATTAGGGAATTTTCTGGTGCCTCTTAAATTAGTCCCTGTAACTTATGACTTGCTTTTGCTAAAAGTCCAGTATTTACACAAAGTATGTCCCATCCTATAAATCTAATAGTAAATCTGAAAGATGTAATACAAAGAACAAATTAAAAATACTGGCTTATCATGATGGAAACTAAATTCCACAGCCACAGTTCACCAGGGAAATAAGAATAAGCATAATAATAAATAAAAGTTCCAGAAGTGGTTAATTCATATAGGTGAAAACATAGGGAAAGCACACAAATAAATACCATTACTCCTTCCATGATATACAAATATTTTAAAATTAATATATTAGGATTAACTGATACTTGCTAGCCTTTTCCCATAAACAGCCATAAAACTGGCTAAAATATATGAGGCATGAGACAATTGTTTCCAAGCATTGGACAAAAAGTGGCACAAAACTGTGATTCCTGAGAGAAAGGAAACGTAAGAAAGTCCATGATTTTTCAGTGTGCTGCCGGGGAAAAAATTCCTGACCACATCTGTAAAATGGAATCTAGACAGAATATGGCAGTCCCACTGAGCTGAAAAGCAGAGATAGAATTTCTGGCAGCTTAAACAACCAGGGAGACAATGAGAGAGCTCTGTTTATGAGATGGACGTGAGAACATGAGGGGCAGAAATCCATGTAGGCATCCCTTGGGAATCCTCTGAGGCTAAGACTACCTAAGGCTTACCAGAGAGCAGCTGATACAAATCTGAGATGAGAACATAGATACTAGAAGTAAAGCAGTGTGGCGAAGATGTTGAAAACACAACCCATCCTGAGTGTAGAGATCACATAACACTGTTTTAATACCTCAGGCATATAGCTAAGACACCCCCCCCCAAAAAAAAGCCGCACCTTAGGAGTAAAGACCACACCTTAGAGTCAGGCTGACTCTAGACCTGCCCTAACAAATCTAAAACCCAAGCCATGACAAGATCCCTGAAGGAAACAGAACTTGGATGTTGGGTTCTGCCAAGTTTTGAAACTTTCTACAAATTCACCCCAACAAAGCATAAAACAAAGATTACACAGTTCAAGAGGATTAGTCAATATTTGAATTGCTCACTAGGACATAAATCAACATTTTCTTCAAAAGAAAACAGAATTCAAAGTCTCTTCAACATAACAAGCACAGAATTCAGTATATATTCTACAATACCTAGATATGCAAAGAAACAGGAAACTATGATCCATAGGCAAGATGACATAATCTAAATATTTATGTACTTAAGAAAAGCTTCAGATGCATGTGGTAAAAACTGACACATCTGAAAGGAGAAATGGACAAATCCACAATTTTAGTTGAAGTCTTTAGTACTTGATAGAACATGTAGGCAGAAAATCATTAATGATATAGATGACCTGAACCATACTATCAGCCAGCTAGATCTAACTGATATCTGTAGAACACTCCATCCTGTAAAAGCAGAAAATATTCTTCTCAAGTGCACATGGAATGTTCACTGAGATAAACAATATTCTGGACCATGAAAAGGAAAAGCTTTTTACAATTTCAAAGGAAACATATAAAATATGTTCTTGAGCCATAGTAGAATTAAAGTATAGAAATAGATAACAGAAATACATCTGGAAAATCCACAAATACTTGAAAATTAAAGAACCTACTTTTAAACAATCTGTGGATGAAAGAGTAAGTTTTAAGGAAAATTAAAAACTATTTTGAACCAAATAAAAATGAAAATGCAAGGTATCAATATTTGTGGACTACAGCTGACCCTTGAACAACATGTACTTTTTAGATACTACATATAAATGATATAATACAGTATTTTTCTTTCTCTTTCTGGCTTATTTCACTTAGTATGATAATCTCTAGGTTAACCCATGCTGCTGCAAATGGTATTATTTCATTCTTTTTTATGACTGAGTAGTATTCGATTGTATATATACCACAACTTCTTTATTCAATCATCTGTTGATGGATAATTAGGTTGCTTCCATGTCTTGGCTATTGTAAATAGTGCTGCTATGAACATTAGGGTATATGTATCCTTTTGAATTAGAGTTTGCTCTGGATATATTCCCAGGAGTGGGATTGCTGGATCATATGGTAAATCTCTTTTTAGTTTTTTTAAGGAATCTCCACATTGTTTTCCACAGTGGCTGCACTAAACTACATTCCCACCAACAGTGTAGGAGGGTTCCCTTTTCTCCATATCCTCTCCAGCATTTATCATTTGTGGACATTTTAATGATGGCTGTTCTGACAAGTGTGAGATGATCCTCATTGTAGTTTTAATTTGTACTTCTCTGATAATTAGTGATATTGAGCATTTTTTCATGTGCCTATTGGACATCTGTATGTCTTAATTGGAGAAATGTCTGCTTAGGTCTTCCACCCATTTTTTGATTGAGTTGTTTGTTTTCTTGTTCAACCCATTTTAAAATCTCATCAAAAAAAATAAAATAAAATACTTAGGAATAAATTTGACCAAGGAAGTGAAAGACTTATATACAGAGAACTATAAAACATTGATTAAGAAAATTAAAGTTGATTTAAAGAAATGGAAAGATATCTCATGCTCCTGAATTGGCAGAATTAATATTGTTAAAATGTCCATACTGCCAAAAGCAATCTGCAGATTAAATGTAATTCCTATCAGAGTACTCAGGACATTTTTCACAGAACTAGAACAAATAATCCTAAAAGTTATATGGAATCACAAAAGACCTAGAATTGCCAAAACAATATTGAAGAAAAAGAACGAAGCTGGAGGAATAACTCTCCCAGGCTTCAGACAATACTACAGAGCTACGGTAATCAAAACAGTGTGATACTGGCACAAAAACAGACATATGGATCAATGGAACAGAATAGAGAGCCCAGAAATAAGCCCACAGACTTAACAGTCAATTAATCTTTGACAAAGGAGGCAAGAACATACAATGGAGAAAAGACAGTCTCTTTGGCAAATGGTGTTGGGAAAACTGGACAGTTGCATGTAAATCACTGAAATTAGAACAAACACTCCCTCACACCATTTATAAAAATAAACTCAAAATGGCTTAAAGACTTGAACATAAGACAGGGCACCATAAACCTCCTAGAAGAAAACATAGGCAAAACATTCTCTGATATAAATGCAAAAATAAACAAATGGAACTTAATTAAGCTTATAAGCCTTTGCACAATAAACTATAAACAAAACAAAAAGGCAACCTACAAAATGGGAGAAAATATTTATAAATGATGTGACTGACAAGGGATTAATTTCCAGAAGGTACATCACTGTTGATCCCAAAGACTTTAAAAGGTTAGTGCAGGAATACTATGAACAAAGATATGCCTATAAATTTGACACCTTAAATGAGAGTCAATTCCTTAAAAGGCATAAACTACCAAAACTTACTCGAAAAGAAGTAGATAACCTTAATAAGACCTATAACTATGAAAAAAAATCAACTATATCTCTAAATAGTAGCAACAGTTACAAATGAAGTTAAAACTAAAAGTGGCATTCACAGTAGCATCAAAAAATATAAAATAGAGTAAATACAATGAAAGATACGTAAATCTTCTATGTGAAAATTATAGAACATTGCTTATATGTAAAATAACAGTAAGGAATATCTAAATAAACAGGACATACCTTATTCATTGATTGAGAGGTTGAATATTTCGAAAAATATGCATTCATCCCAAACTGATCTATAAATTTAATGCTTTTATCACTTACAAGTCCCAGCAGCTTTTTTCATGTGTAGAAACTTGACATGCTGATTACAAAATTTATTTGGAAATTTAAAGGACCAAGATACCCAAAACAATTTTGGAAAAAGAACAACAAAGCTGGAAGACCTACAATAGCCAATTTTAAGATAACAATTAAGACAGTGTTAAATGCATAACAATGGACACGTAGATCAGTGGACTACAATAGAGTCCAGAAATAGAACCACACATATCTAGTCAATTGATTTCTGAAAAGGCTAATGTAATTCAGTGGGGGAAAGGAAAGTCTTTTCAACAAATGGTACTAAATAAATTCATAGTCATATGGAAAAAAAATGAAATATGGCCCTTGCCTCATACCATAAATATATAACTTGCCATGAATCTTAGACCAAATGTAAAAACTTAAGCTATCAAAGTTCAAAAATAAAAACTTACAGGAAAATCTTCATGGCTTTGAGTTAGGAAAAGATTTCTCAGACAGAAAAACATTTACTGTTAAAAAAAATGATTAACTGGACTTGACTGAAATTAAAATCTGTTAAAAGACACCATATAGAACATAAAAAAGGAAGATACTGTGTGAAAGAAAATACTCACAGTACACAGCTCTGACAAAGAATGTGTACCCAGAACATATAAAAATCTTTACAACACAGTAATTAGATAAAAAAATTAAAAATGGACAAAAAGTTGAATAGACATTTCACACAAAGAATTAAATGAACAAATATATATATATGAATATATGAAAAATATTCAACCTTATTAGTTACTAGGGAAATCCAATATAAAACTACAGTAACATACAATTTCACTCTCAGTAGAATGGCCATAATTAAAAGGAATAACAGTAATAACTTTTGGTGAAGATGTAAAGCAATTGGATCTCTCATTCATTCAAATAAAATGAAATTGGTACAGTCATTTTAAAAAGCAGTTTGCCAGTTTATTATAATGTTAAACATACACTTGTGACTCAGCATTCTATTCCTACATATTTTTCCAAAGGAAATGAAAGTATGACCACAAGAGTATCATGTACATGAATGTTCATAGAAGCTTTATTCATAATGTTAAAAAATTGGAAACAACCCAAATGTTCATCTGCAGCTGAATATATAAACAAAGTGTGATTGATATAGGGTTGCCAGATGAAATGTAGGACTTTCAGTAAAATTTGAATTTCAGATAAACATTGAATAATTTTTAGTGTAAGTATATCCCAAATATTGTATGAATTATGCTTATGCTACAAAATTTCATTATTTATCTGAAAATCAAAATTAACTGAGCTCCATTGGTTTTTGTTTTTGCTAAATCTGGCAACCCAAGATAGATTTACACCGTGAATAAATAAGAGTGAATTATTGGTAGCATACAAAATGGATGACATTCAAAAATACTATGCTAGGTAAAAGAAAAGAGACCAAAACTGTACATACTGCAATTATATCAAGGCTGCAAGATACAAGATTAATATATATAATATATATATTTAATATATATATAATAATATATAAGTCAGTTTTACTGTTCTATATGCCAACAATGAACAAGTGCAATTTGACATTAGAAACGTAATATCATTTATAATAACACTCCAGAAAATGAAACACTTGAATATAAATCTAACAAGATGTGTACAGATCTGTGTAAAGAAAACAATAAAACTCTGATGAATAAAATAAAAAAATTAAATAAATGGAGAAATATTCCATGTTCATGAAAAAGAAGACTCAATATTGTCAAGACATCCATTCTTCCCAACTTGATCTATAGATTCCATGCAATCCCAATCAAAATCCCAGCAGGGTATTTTGTGGATATCAATAAACTGATTCTAAAGTTTATGTGGAGAGGCAAAAATCCGGAATATCCAACACAACATTGAAGGAGAACAAAGTTAAGAGACTATACTGTCCAGCTTCAAGACTTACTATAAAGCTGCAGTAATGAAGACAGTGCCATACTGGTGAAAGAAAAACAAATAGATTGATGGAACAGAATACATAGCCCAGAATTAGACCCATGTAAATATAGTCAACTAAAAACAAATAGATTGATGGAACAGAATACATAGCCCAGAATTAGACCCATGTAAATATAGTCAACTAATCTATGACAAAGTAGCAAAAAGCAATGCAATAGAGCAAAGCAGTCTTTTTAACAAACAAATGGTGCTGGAACAACTGGATATCCACATGTAAAAAAAATGAATGTAGACACAGACCTTGCATCCTTCACAGAAATTAACTCAAAATGGATCATAGACCTTAGTGTAAAATGCAAAACTATTAAAGTCCTAACACAGGAGAAAACCTAGATGATTTGGATGTGACGGTGATTTTCTAGATACAAAACCAAAGGCACGAGCCATGAAGGAAGTCATTGATAAGCTGGTTCACTGAAGTTGAGAACTTCGGCTTTGTGGAAGACAACATCTAAAGAATGAGAAGATAAGCTACAGACTGGGAAAAAATGTTTGCAAAAGACACATCTGATAAAGGATTGTTAACCAAAAATATATAATAAGAAGTCTTAAAATTCAACAATTAGAAAATAACCTGATTAAATATAAGCCAAAGACCTTAACAGACACCTCACCAAAGAAGATATAAAGATGGCAAATAAGCATGTGAAAAGATACTCTGCATTATATGTCATCGGGGAAATGCAAGTTAAAGCAACAGGGAGATACCATTACACTCCTATTAGAATGGCTGAAATCTAGAACACCAACACCACCAAATGCTGGTGAGGATATAGAGCATCGCTGATGGTGGGGACAGTCATTTTGGAAGATGGCTTGGCCGTTTCTTACAAAACTGACCATATTCTCACCAAATTATCCAGAAATCATGTTCCTTGGTATTTACCCAAAAGAGTTGAAAACTTATGTCCATGCAAAACCTGCACACAGATGTTTATATATATAGCAGCATTATTCATAATTGCTTGGAAGCAATGAAGATGTCCTTCAATAGGTGAATAGATAAGTGAGTTTTGATGCATCCAAACAAATTTTATGCAGCACTAAAAAGAAATGAGCTATCAAACCATGAAAAGATATGGAGAAACCTTAAATGCGTATTACTAAGTGAAGATGCCAATCTGAAAAGGCCATATAGTGTTTGATTCCAACTTTACTGATATTCTTGAAAAGGCAAAACTAAGGAGACAGTAAAGATTAGTGTTTGCCAGGGTTTGGCAGCAGAGGTGGAGGGATGAATAGGCAGAGCACAGGACTTTTAGGACAGTGAATGACTTTTAGGACTCTGTATGATACTATAATGACAGATCCATGTCATTTTACATTTGTTTAATTCAGAATGTATAGCACCAAGAATGAATCATAAAGTAAACTATGGACTTTGGGTGATTATGATGCTTCAGTGTAGGTTTATCACTTGTAACAAACACTCTGGTGAGGGATATTAACAATGGAGGAGGCTACGCATGTGAGGAGGTAGTGGCGTATATGGGAAATCTCTGAACCTCCCTCTCAATTTTGCTGTGAACCTAAAGCTTCTCTAAAAAATTATTTTTTTTTTAAAAAAGGGCATATTGTATGATTTTATTTAAATGAAGTTCTAGAACTAGTGAAATTAATTTATAGTGATAAAAGTCAAATCAGTGGTATCCTGAGGCAGAATGTGGGTTTTGAGTGGAAAGGATCATCAGAAAACTTTCTAGGGTGATGGAAATGTTCTGTATCTTTATTGGAGTGATAATAACATGGGTACACTCATTTATAAAACTCATAGAACTGTTCTTTTAAAATGTGTGCATTTTATTGCATAAGTTACTCCTCAATAAGGTTTATATATATATATATAATTGAAAAGTCAAATTTTAGAAATTAAAGATTTAAAAAGAGTATTTAAATTTAAATTCTTAAAGAAATGAACTTTGGATCAGGGACGTAACTCAATAGAATATTACTAACTATGCTTCTTTAGTTCTAGAAATTATCTTCAACCTCAAATCTCTAATAACATCTACCTTACTAAAGATGCATATATGAAAAAAAGTAAAATAAGACCTAAAAAGTCTCCCAAGATTAAAAACAGTTTTGAGAAGAAGTTTGTTTTTGCAGTAATTTTTTCATACTATTTTTCAGAGTATACAGGAAGGAAATTGGAGATACTATATTAAATTGCTAATAAGCATTTCAAATAATAGTAAAGTATTTGCATTACAGTGTTTCTTTTAAAAATACCAGTGTCTTCTAAAATATCTCTAAAAATATCTCTAAAACTTTGAAATTTGGTTCAGATTATTATTAATCGTCCTTAAAATTCTTGATTCTCCTATTTTCTCATTCCTTTTAGTCCAAGCCAAATTTTTTTTATGTTCTCTCTTCATTAGACTCTTTTTTTTTAAATAGTTGTTTGTTTTTACAAAGAACAAAATCATAGGTTGAAGTAGTGATTAAGCTGGCATTAAAACGTAACTGTGAGTGCCATTTCCTGTTCTAATCATCTGATCGTGGTGCCTTCTTCTTCTGTGCTCTTTCCTATTTTTCATTAGAAATTTAATACTTTGGTAGGGGAAAAGGGAGCTCAAATGAGTGGAGGGCAGAAACAGAGAATCGCGATTGCTCGAGCTTTAGTTCGAAACCCGAAGATTCTAATCTTAGATGAGGCTACATCTGCCCTAGATACAGAAAGTGAATCACTAGTTCAAGCTGCACTGGAGAAGGTAAGTGAGTAGACACATTTATTACTTTCATATTCTTGGTTCAGCATTGTTTTTAAATATAAGAAACTATGGCTACATAATAGATTATTTATTAATTTCAGAGACCTCCTTGTGGTCCAGATGCAAGGTATTCATCCTTGTAAAAACTTATGTGATGGTTATAGGAATTGATTTGGAGGAGAAAGGAGGATGACGTACTTGGTGTTAAAAATATATATGAGGCTCATATTTAAACAGTCATCCTATACATACCTCCATTCCAACAGATCTATACTTTCTTCCTCCTCAGAGTAACCCCATACCTCTACCACCATCACAACTATAACCATATCCATCCTTTGCCTCTTCTGTACACACCTGTGGGATTCTCTTCTCTGACCACTTTTCCTCTTTAGGTCAACCCCAGAGTACTCTTTTAAATTAATTTCACTTCAAGTGGAGAACATACTGTGTGGTTTGCCTTGACCTTGGACCATCCTCCTTCAACAGTCCTGGGCCCTCAGACCTCACATTGACTTCCTGCTCACTGCAAGCTGCTGCACATGCTTCATGTCCACAATACAGCCATGGCCCTCTACCAAACTGCACTGCATCTGGGAGAGTCATGTGGTGATATGAAAAACTATGGAATTCTTTTTTGAATGGCCAAACCCCTTTTTAAATCATGGCCTTCAAACCCTTCAGAAGGCTTAATGGCACATATTACTTTGAGCTTGTTTGAAAATGTATCAAGTGTTTTTCTCTCTAAGAAAATTATAGGTTTATCTTATTAAACACTGATTTTATGTGGCCACAAAAGGTTACTGGCAGCCAGAGTACCCCACTGCTTATTGAAAAATCTATTAGTTACTATTGTCAACTTATAAATCAGACTGTATAAATTTTTACCCTTTTTTCCATCCCATGATAAGAGTGCCACATATTGCTCATGATGTTTCTTATTTCCATAAAATAATAAGTGATACAAAAATTCATCTTTATTGTGGACACTTTGCCAAATTTGCTTCATCTTTGTGGAGAAGAAACAATAATTCCCTCAAAAGTATGGCTAATGCTTTATTAATTTTTTATACTTAATAACAAGGCTCTATAGAGAACACTCAAATTGTGTTTATTAATAGTGATGTTTACTTTCTTAGGGCTTGAGTATACTGAAAAATGATTACACTAAACTGTCTTAAATTACATCAATTGTTTTTCTAGTTTTATGGAGATGTAATTGACATTCATATATAAGATTAAAGATATTATAATAGGCTCTAGAGTTGTTTAGAGTTTAAAGGTGCCCATTGTCTTTTGTTAATCACTTCAGGCAATCAAAACTTCTTCATAATTTTAAAATAAATATTTGCTTAGTGACATAATAAACTTAGAAATTTTTTTCTACTGATTAAAATGAAATGTCATAAGTGAAAAGAGAATGTAAAATGTTTGTAAGCTATTATTCCACATATATAACTTATTTTTTAAAATATTTTTAATTCATTTACTGCTATTGTTTTCCAGTTTTTAAAGAGGTTACAATACATCCCCCATACATGGTAGAGATGTATAGGTGTGAAGCTGCTTTAAGTAGGTTTTGCTGGTCTTTTGTGGAGTGAGGGTAACTGGTAACAAATGAGGTGACAAGTAGCACAGTAAATGGATTAATTATGTACAGCTCAGTATATAATTGACTTGTGGTGAAGAGGAGAGTTAAGATACAGGCAAAGTAATGAACACTCCAGTGCCATAAGAGTTCTCTACACATACCACATAGATGGTGGTTATGGAATCAAGTCTTTAAAGAGGCCCCCACCTAAGGAGGGTAGGACATCCAGCAGGTCTCATTTCTGCTTGTCTAAGAACTCTCAGACCCTGCAGCATGATAACGGCCTAGCCCACAGGAAAAAAGAAAAAGGAATTAGGAACTTTTTAGTTTTTTTTTCTTTTCCTTTCCTTTTCCTTTTTCCTTTCTTTATTCCTTTTTTTACCATTTGTAGCAACCCTATAATAGTTGAAAACAGAAAGGGGATTTCTGCAAGAGAATTTTCTTGGCTGGAATTTAGCCAGGGGAACAAAAGTAACACAGAGAATACCTCATCCCAAAAGCAACATGTGACATTTTATATGCTTGCTTAATCAAGTTCACATTTGAAAGGCTTGGTGTTAAATTATAGGCCACTAACTTCTTTTAGAATAATGCTTCTCTCCCTTTGATAGATCAAGGTCCCATAGAGAATCTAAGACAGTGGAAAATAAACCACTATAACTCTTCAGAACAATCTACACATGCACCTGTACACAAAGATTTATATATAATATTGAGAGATTCATAGACCCCCTGAACTGTTCATAAGTCATTATTTTAGGTTTAATAAAGGAACAAGTGGACAATAATTAACCCTTACAAGAACTCAATGATATGAACATTTAATCTCCTATTTTACATATGTGCACCATGAAGCACAGAGAGGTTGAGTAACAGCTAGGAAGCAGTGAAGCCAGAACCTGTTCCCAGACAGTGGGCCCTCTAGCTCATTGACATAACTACCATGGTGTAGTCCATCAAGATTTTTAATCTGCTAGGGACTGAAACTAAATTTGAAACCAGATCATTCTCCAAAACTAGCCTTTTATTAAGCATAGACTGACTTACACGATCCAGCAATTCCACTTTTGGATATATAGCCAAAAAATAATTGAAAGGAGGAACTCAGACAGATATGTGTATACCAAGGTTCAGAGCATCATTCATAATACCCAAAAGGTAGAAATAATGCAATTAGCCATTGACAGATGAATGGATGAACAAATTGTGATATATACGTATAATGGAATAGTACTCAGTCTTAACAAGAAAAGGAAATTCTGACACAAACTACAACATGGATGACCCTAGAACACATATGCTAACTAAAATAAGACAGATACAAAAAGACAAATACTGTATAATTATACTTATATAAGATACCTAGAATAGTAAAATTCATAGACAGAAAGTTGAATAGAGGCTACCAGGGGCTGTGGGAAGCGGGGAATGGGGGATTATGATTTAAAGGGTACAGAGTTTCAGTATGGGATGGAGAAAAAGTTCTGGAGATGGATAGTGGTGATGGTTGCACAACAACGTGAGTATACTTAATTGTATACTTTAAAAGGTTAAAATTGATATAAAATTATGTTATTTTACAAGAAAGAAAAGCAATCTAATTTTGAGCATAGAAGAATAGTGACACAGAAGAAATTGGCCTCTCAGATCCAGGAAGATCTTGCCCTTAACAATGGCTGGAATGACAGCTCAGCAAATATGGCCAATATTTTATAATAACTTGAATGTGGAGTATAATCTTTAAAAATACTGAATCACTATGTTGTACAACTGAAACTAATATAATATTGTAAGTCAAGTATACTTCAACATAATAAAGGCCATGTATGAAAAACCCACAGGTAACGTCATACTCATTGGGGGAAAGCTGAAAGCATTTCCTCTAAGATTAGGAACAAGACAAGGATGCTCACTCTCACCACTTTTATTCAACATAATTTTGGAAGTCCTAGCCATAGAAATCAGAGAAAGAAAGAAAAGGAATCCTAATTGGAAACAAAGAAGCAAAACTGTCACTGTTTGCAGATGACATGATATTATACATAGAAAACCCTAAAGAAGTGACTAGAAAACTACCAAAACTCATCAATGAATTTGGTAAAGTTGCAGGATACAAAATTAGTATACAGAAATCAGTTGTATTTCTATACACTAACAACAAAATAGCAGAAAAAGAAATTAAGGAAACAATACCATTTACCATTGCACCAAAAAGAATAAAATACCTACCCATGGAGACAAAAGACCTGTCTCTGAAAACTATAAGACACTGATGAAAGAAATTGAAGATGATATAAACAAATGGAAAGATATACCATGCTCTTGGACTGTAAGAATCAATACTGTTGAAATGGTCATACTACCAAATATACAGATTCAGTGCAATCCCTATCAAATTACCAATGACATTTTTCACAGAGCTGGAACAAAAAACTGTTAAAATATGTATGGAAACACAAAAGACCCTGAATAGCCAAAACAGTTTTGAAAAAGAATGGAGCTGGGGGAATCACACTCCCTGGCTTCAGACTATACTACAAAGCTACAGTAATGAAAATAGTATGGTACTGGCACAAAAACAGACATGTAGATCAATGGAACAGGGTACAGATTCCAGAAATAAACCCACACACTTATGGTCAATTAATCTATGACAAAGGATGCAAGAATACACAATGGAGAAAAGACAGTCTCTTCAATAAGTGGTGCTGGGAAAACTGGACAGCTACCTGCAAACAACTGAAATTAGAACATTTTCTAACACCATATACAAAAATAAACTAAAAAATGCATTAAAGACTTAAATGTAAGACCAGATGCTATAAAACACCTATAGGAAAGCTTAGGCAAAACACTCTTGGACATAAATCACAGCAATGTATTTTTTGAACCAGCTCCTAGAGTAATGGAAATAAAAGCAAAAATAAACAAAGGGAACCTAATTAAACTCAAAAGCTTTTACACAGCTAAGGATACCGTCAACAAAATGAAAAGACAACCTACAGAATGGAAGAAAATATTTGCAAATGATGCAAACAACAAGGGACTAATTTCCAAAATAAACTAACAGCCCATACTCCTTAATATCAAAAATCAAGCAACCCAATCAAAAAATGGGCAGAAGACCTAAATAGACATCTCTCCAAAAAAGACAGACAGATGACCAACAAGCACATGAAAAGATGCTCAGCATCACTTATTGTTAGAGAAATGCAAATCAAAACTACAATGAGATATTACCTCACACCAGTCAGAATGGACATCATTAAGAAGTCTACAAATGATAAATTCTGGAGAGAGTGTGGAGAAAAAGGAACCCTCCTAGACTGTTGGTGGGAATATAAATTGGTGCTGCCACTACAGAAGACAGTATGGAGGTTCTTTAAAAAACTAAAAATCAACTTACCATTTGATCCAGTAATCCCACTCCTGGGCATATATCTGGAGAAAAATGTAATTCAAAAAGACACATACACCCCAGCATTCATAGCAGCACTATTTACAATAGCCAAAACATGGAAATAACCCAAATGTCCATCAACAGATGACTGGATAAAGAAGATGTGGTACAATTATATAATGGAATACTACTCAGCCATAAAAAGAATAAAATAATGCCATTTGCAGCAACATGAATGGACCTGGAGATCGTCATTCTAAGTGAAGTGAGCCAGAAAGAGAAAGAAAAATGCTGTGTGATATCACTTATATGTAGAATCTAAACAAAAGGGCAAAAATCAACTTATCTACAAAACAGAAACAGACTCACAGACATAGATACAAACTGATGGTTACCAGGGAATAAATATAGTGGGAAGGAATAAATTGAGAATTTGAAAATTGCACCTCTTGGAGAGTGATGGAAATGTTAGCTATCTTGATTGTGGTAGTGGTTTCATTAGCATATACATCTATCAAAATTCATCAAATTGTACGTTTGAAATATGTGTAGTTTACTGTACAGGAACCATACCACAATAAAGGCATTTTAAAAAAAGAAAAATGAGCAAAAACCTCCATTCACAAGAGAGACTATCCAAATTGTCGGTAACCGTGTAAGAAGTTGTTCAGCTTTATCAGTCATCAGGAAAATGCAAATAAAAGCCACACTATGACAGTATTTTCCTACTAGAAAAAGAAGTAACCAAGTGTTGGTGAGAATATAGAGTAACCATAACTCTCTTGCACTGTTGAGGAAACATTTATAAACTGGGACAACCATTTTGAAAGCTGTTTGGCAGAATTTTAAAAAGCTGAGCAATTCCCCTCTTAGATACACATCTAATAGAATTGTGTACATATGTTCACCAAATAAACATGTATAGGAATCTTGTCATAATAGAAAAAACCCTGAGACTGCCCAAGTGCCAATCAGTAGTAGAGTGGAAAATAAATTGTGATATATTTGCACAACGGACTACTATTCAGCAATAAGAATGATCTACAACTATATACAACAAAATGGATGAACCTCAAAAACATGTTGAACAAAAAAGTATATACTGCATGATTCCATTTATATAAAAGAAAAAACTAAACAAAATTAATCTAAGCTGTTAGAGGTCAGGATAGTGGGTAACGTTGGTTTGGGTGAATGGCAGCAGAGATTAGAAGAGAACCTGAAGCAGGTTTCTGGGGACTGGTATTGATCTGTTTCTTAATCTGGGTGCTGTGCATCTGGATGTATTTGGTTTGTAAAGGTGAACTGATCTTGACACTTATATGTACTTCTCCACTGTGTATATAATACTTGTTAAAAAGTTTAAAATATGCTTTATCTTGAATCTGTACCCAACTAGTTAAGTAATATCACCGTTTTAGAGATGAAGAAAATGAGAAATAGTAAGCTTAAATTTCCTAGCTACTTTTAGTTTCTAATAACCAGGCAGCTAGTAGGTGGCTCAGAGTAAATGGTCTTTAGTTTCTGTCTGTTTCTAAGATATTATGGTATTATAAATCCACCCATTTGGAATCCTGAATTCCTGCCTTTCTTTTTATTTTAATTTATGTTGGTTTTCCTAATTGATTAAAATTTTCAAACTTCTATATCCAAAGGTAAGACTCTCATATTTAAATACTACTGCTAGAGGTTTTCTTGAATATTTAGTTTGTTATTTCTGCTAATTTTACGTTTGTTTTCTATGCTTATTATTTTATAGGCAAGCAGAGGTCGGACTACAATTATGGTAGCTCACCGACTTTCCACTATTCGAAGTGCAGATATGATTGTGACCATAAAAGATGGGATGGTAGTGGAAAAAGGAACACATGCTGAACTAATGGCAAAACAAGGTCTATATTATTCACTTGCAATGTCACAGGTAATGTTTATATGACATAATGTTTTATTTGCAGGGGTTTTAAAAACTTTTCAGAGAGCATGCCATGCTAGAATACAGAAGTCCTGAATTATAATCTTAGGTTTCACAAAGAACCAAGATTTATTTATAGTTCCTCAGTGGAGAAATTCAGTGTATCTAAAATCCTCAATACTGTGCTAGATAATATGATGAAAGTTAAAGAACTAATTGAGACATAGCACCTAATATGTTTCAGGCACACTACAAATAGGCTTCAAAGCTTGTATGTGGCAGATCCAAAACAGTCTGATATACTCTATATATACTGTGATCTTTTCTTCAGAACACAGAGACACTTAACACCCAATCTCTACTTAAAGGCTTAGCTGTAGGGGCAAAATGCAAAGTCATGCATACAGATGTTACAAGTTATAGAAGTAAGAAGCAAAATTGGTGGGAACATGAGGAAGTAGATTACCCATGGAAAGATTCATGAAGAAGTCTTGAAGGCAAGGAAGTAGGAGGTGGAAAAGGAGGAGAAATCTAGATGGTATGGAGGTAAGAAGGAACTTAGTTTGTAACTAAACAGAAAGGAGATCAGCCTTCCATAAGTAACAATGAGTGTTGAGGGAATAATGGAAAAGAGTTGGATAATGAAAGTCAGATAATGGAAAAGTTGAGACTAATACAGTGCCTGGCACACAGTAGCCACTCAAAAAATATCTGCTGAGTTAAAGGATGCAGACACATGTCCATACCATGTACATATTGCATTCTCACAGGTGGACTAGAAAGCTCATGTTAGGCAATCAGAGGAGGCATGATAATGATGGAGACACAAAGACAAATTCCTGTTTTTTAGGATCCAAATTTCTGCAAACCATGTGACCTACCCTACTGAATTTCACATAGCTTTTTGTTAGGGCACCTTAGTGTACATGATAGGAATTAGGCTCTAGCTATCTTCTTCATTCTGCCTTCTTCTCTTAGTCTGGAAGGCAGCATTCTTTCCAGGAGGTCTTCTACAGACAACTAATCTCAACTCTTCAGTTTTTTACTTCTTCAACTATCTGATTACATGTTTGATGTCAACATTATTATTTTACAAATTAGGAAATTCAGTAAGTTATGAGCCTCCATCTCCTCATCAGACTTAAAATTTCAAACCCTAGCTTTCTTCACAATGCTATAGTGAAGAATTTGTAAATACATCCTATAAAGCAATGATAGTTTTAAAAAAAATTGAAAATGTAATTTTACATTGATTTGAAAACTGCTTGATTCCAATTTTGTTTCATATTAGGCCATATTTTCTCTAAAGATAAAATATAGGTGTAATTTGTCAGTTAAATTTGCATAATTTTCATTCCATAGTATACTTAATAATTTACGAAGTTATTAAATTCAATATTTTCAAACAAATCATTGTAACAATAAAAAAACACAACTATAGTCAAATTAACCCTATTTTGAGATTTGTAAAAACTACACTAAGATCTTTCTTTGAAGTAATACTTCTTTATTTTTTACTATAACTAAACTAAAACTCCATTATAAGGTGTTTCACATAAGAGTTTCACAATGTAAGGGAAACAAAAATGGGGTGTTTGTGGTATAAGTGTATAAAAATTAAAAACACCTTATTCAAAATGGATTAGTACTCTCTGATTACTTAAAATAATGTTCACTGTTGAACACTGGAATTTGACACAACATTGTAAAATGATTATAAATCAATAAAAAATGTTAAAAAATAATGTTCATTGTGATATAACAATATCATTTTAAATATTAATTTTCAGTGAACAACTCTGATATTCTGGATACTGTGTAATTAGCATAACATACATGATATCTACATAAATAGTAATATTTATAAAAAGCTACACTTATTTGTCACTATGTCTGTAGTGTCCAAATGAATCAATTTATGACAATTCATGATTATCATAAGTATTACAAAGTTAATGCTGCTAAGAAAATCAACCCCATGTTAGTAATGGGGAGACTGTGCGTTTGTGGAGGTAAGGGGTATAGGGGAAATCTCTGTACCTTCTGCTCAGTTTTGTTATGAACCTAAAACTGCTCTAAAATAATTAAGTATATTTTTTAAAATTTTTTAAAAGAAAAGAAAATCAATACCAAAAAGCAACATAGCAGAATGGTTAAGGTTACAAGCTCTGGAGACACTTCAAGTTGAAATCCCTACTCAGCCATTTAATAGTTTTAGGACCTTGATAAGTTGTTTAAATTGTCTGTGCCTCAATTTTCTAATCTCTAGCATGGGAAAAATAATAGTAACCTATTAATGAATTACAATGAGTATTAAATGAGTTCATTCATGTAAAGTGCTTAGAATTATTGTTGGCATAAAAAATGTTATTATATTACTATTCTTAACGTTAGCATTTGTTATCTAATCAAACTTTTCAGAAAAGTTCAAACCATGATTATAAACTATAATCATGTATAGACTAATGTTGTAATTATCTATCTAGAATGTACAATTACTTATAAACATAGTGAGTCTGCAAGTTTCCTCTAGTGAGTTTCCATGTAAAAATGGAATAAAAACAGGTAGAGATATATACATACCAAAACTTCTCATCATTGTTCCTTTGTCTAGGAGCCTTCTCAGGTCTTTGACCTGTTAAAGCATCTCTTTAGAAAAATTTATTATGAGAAGAAGTCAAATTTTATTTTAAACTTGCCACAAAGTAAGTAGCTCCTGGGGAAAAAAAGCCAAATAAAAGATTTCCTTCTTGGTAGAGAAATTCATAGGGAAAAAAAGAAAGCGATAGCATAAAAGAATGTCTGATTAAAGATGTTAGGATATTATAAGGCTGGTTAAAGTTCTTGGGACTTTGAAATGACTGATTAGCAGTTGTTAATCTTAAAGAATCCCAGTTTCCCTGGGAAGCCTTCAGTGTTCATATTCTCCTTTACACCTTAATCTAAGTTTGTCCATCTCCTCGCTTCATTCTGGTCTGGGCCCCCATCATCCTAACTAGGCTCTTCATTTCTGTCTTGACCTCTCCTCCCATCTCTTCATGGGGAAGTCACAGTTTACTCACAACACATTCAGATAAGCAGACGTGTAAATCGGTTATATCACTGAAATTGGTCTCATTTTTCTTGGAGGAGCAAGTAAAACAAAAACTAACTTAGAGCAATCTGGTTTAGAATTAGAACCTCATTCTATCCTGTGATTTAAATAGTCTTTAAGATTCACTTGATGTCTTTGGCATTTCTTTTTATTTTGGAGCTGGTCCTACCAATTTTTCTTTTTGATCAGTTTGAAATGAGCAGAGGTGGCAGGCCTGGAAAATGTTACTGTCTCCTAAGATCTTTCTCAGGCCCAGGACCAGCCTCACATTTAAGTGCCAGCTACATGTTATAAATTTACAAGCTCCAGAAAAGGCTAGGAAGAAGGGGTCAGAGACAGTATATTTGAGTCATCTTCCTCCAAAACTCCTTTTGCTAAGACCTGTTCTTGCTAGTAGAATAATTGATTTAGATTAAGACATTGTTTTCTCCCATTAATTATACAGGTATTTGGATAAAAAGGCATAGTGCGATATTGTCACTCACTAACATTTTAGGATGAGTTGGACTTACTAGGTATCTATCATCCTGAAAACTTCAGCAAGAACTGCACAGGAATCACCACTTTTTTTTTAATTGAGTTTTAGTCAGTTTACAATGTTGTGTCATTTTCCAGTGTAGAGCACGATTTTTCAGTTATACATGTACATACATATATGCATTGTCTCATTCTTTTTCGCTGTGAGCTACTACAAGATCTTGTATATATTTCCCTGTGCTATATACAGTGTAATCTTGTTTATCTATTCTACATATGCCTGTCAGTATCTACAGATTTCGAGCTCCCAGTCTGTCCCTTCCCATCACTACCCCCATGAAGAATACACCACTTTAAATAACAGAGGCAACATAGTTTTAGAGGGATGCTTAATAAAGTTCCTTTGAATTTTTAAGGCATTATTCTGGTGGTAACATGTATATTCTTCATTTAAGGATATTAAAAAAGCTGATGAAGAGATGGAAACAATGGCATATTCTACTGAAAAAAATACCAATTCAATTCCTCTGCGCTCTATGAATAGCATCAAGTCAGACTTTGCTGACAAGTCTGAGGAATCCATCCAATGTAAAGAGGTAATGGTTCAACTGAGAACAAGTTTTACGCACATGTTCTCCAGTGAATTTTGATACAATCCTTACAATATTTAGAATTTATTAAATGTAAAATGTTATTATAGCACTAGTTTATAGAATATAAATCTTTTCCTGAACTTTACTCTAACATAATTGTGACACATGAAAAAAGTATATACTGTATGTTTCCATTTATATAGAACTCTAGAAAATGCAGAACAATCTATAGTAACAGAAAACATATCAGTTGTTATAGGGTAAGAGCACTGGCAGCTGGGTGGCGTGGGAGAAAGGGATTATAAAAGGCAGGAGAAAACTTGCAGGGATAGTGGATATGTTCATTACATTGACTATGGTAGGGGAAGGGTGTAGCCCAAGTGGTAGAGTACATGCTTTGCATTCACAAGGTCCTGGGTTCAATCTCCAGTGCCTCCTCTGAAAATAAATAAATAAGTAAACCTAATTACTTCCCCCCAGAACCATTATGTTGACTGTGGTGCTGGTTTCGTAAGTATGCAGTTGTGTCTAAACTTGTCAAGTTGTACATTTTAAATATGTGCAGCTTGTTGTATGAAAGATTAAGTTTTAAATTTTAAGCTCTTTCCTGTCTCTTTACAAAATACCTATAATTTCATGTATAATTTATGTCACATTCTCTTAAAACATGTTATATAACCTGTAGCATATTTAGGTAGCACAGATTTCTCATGATTTTACTAAACTTTTTCATTTTGTTACTATCTTATTTCATTTTATTCTTTTCTACCTTGATAACATTGTTTAAGTACTACCCATTTTTTTCAATCTGTTGTGTACTTTTAGAGGCAAAAGTATAAATTATTCTATGGAACCAAGATAGCCCTCCAACATGTACTGGCTCTACATGTGATTTCCTGGCATTGTGTCCTGGGACATGTTAAGCCTAGTTTCATTACAAATTGAGCTAATTTTGTAAAGAATTTGACAAAAAAGAAAATCTGTGTTCAGTGCTCCATGAAGAGTTGGAATGGAACTTTTAAAATTTCTATATATTCTGTGGGACAGTCACTTAACTGAAAAGTGAGGCTGTTTATGAGGATGATCTTCAGAAAACTTTAAAAACAAAGATAATAGATAGTCAATTATTAAATAACCCAATATAATTTCAGCTTAGCCATTCTGAAAATAAACTTTAAGGACTTTGAATTTTAAAAGTTCTATTGTTTAAACAATAGAGCTTACATTATACTTGCCATACTAAGATTAAACCAAGAATTAAAAACTACTTTCTAGTCTCTCCTGAGGACTTTCTCGGGTTATCAAGTTCATAAATTTTATTACTTCAAGAGTGAATGACATGAGTAAGTTTTAACATATGAAATGCCTAAAAGTTTGCTATCTACTTTTATATTCAAAATAATTACTCATCATAAAGCTATTCACAAGATTTTTTTAAGTTTCTGAAATAAATTCCCTGTATATTCCAGACAAGAGCGAGGAGAGATCATTACTGTGTTATTTGTCCTCTGATCATCATGACTGCTACCTGCCCATGGCACCCTCCAAGGATTCCAGGAGGGGCTGGCAGATATCAGAGCTACTTGCAATGTTCATTCTTTGTATAAGACCTGATATTTTGTGTAACATTATCCTTCCTCTAATAGCATCAGCAACAACTAACATTATTGGATACTTATTTTTGCAAACACTGACTTAATAATTCTGAAAACAATCCTGTAAGATAGAAATTTTTATCTTCCTTGGAAACTCAGAAAGATGAGTAAACTGAGGCTTGGTGATTATAAGCATACTCTGATATTGTGGCATTTTACTTATAAATGGGAACTCCCAAACCAGCTTTTAACCAAGATGTTAAAAAAATGTTTCCATGAATTAGTCACAGAAGTGCAAAACTCAAGCTTAAAATGTGACTAAAACTTTTACCTTCTGTCTCTGCTTAGTTTCTACCTAGATTTTGTCCTATGCTAGAGCATGATATTCCATCTTAGATCTATTCAAGACTGGCTAACTTCTCCATTAGGTTCCATTATGCTCTCAAACTGGGGTTCTAACTAAGATTTTTTATTTATAGACAAGTCTTCCTGAAGTTTCTCTATTAAAAATTTTTAAATTAAACAAACCTGAATGGTCTTCTGTGGTTCTGGGGACATTGGCTTCTATTCTAAATGGAACTGTTCATCCAGTATTTTCTATCATCTTTGCAAAAATCGTAACTGTAAGTAAAACTAACCTGATAATCTCTTTAACAAATTTAAAGTGTAACCTGAGAGAACAGGTCTGTTGTACTTTGACCCAGCAAGGGGAAAATTGGAACATGTAGTGTGTCACCCCTAGTGTGGAATCCATGATAGAAAGGTTAACTAATGTTCTCAGGGGATAAGCCACCCTCTATTGTGAAGTGTTTGTCTGGGCCTTGTTGACTGGGCAATCAGTAAAGAAATTGCTTTGTTTTCTAATTTTGACTCTAGTGCTGTATCAGCATTCTAAAGCACTGAAGCAATAAAATAGACAAATACAACTACTCTTCTTTCAACCGGTTTGAACAATGGCCATTTTTTATTACCAGTCAACTCAGAGAGAGGAAATAACAAGAGTTTGGGATTGTTCTGGGAGACCTAGGAGAGTTGATGGATTCAGTGATCTTATTAGAGCCATGTTGTCTTCAGTCTCCTGGACTGTTACTACACTGTGTCAGCATAGATGTCAATGTATGTATAATTATTAATTTTAGAAACAATTTCCAGGGACATGTTTAAAGGTCTCATACTACAGGTAGTACTTTAATTGAGAAATATTAAGAAACCTGAGTTATTAGAAGTTATTAGAAATAATAATTCAATTAGAAAACTAATTTCAGTTTCTTTTAAAATATACTGAGTTAGAGGACTCATTTGTCTGATGCTGTATTTATATAGCTTAAGTGAGAAAATTAGCAGTGAGGGTTTTTTTGTGTGTGATGAATGTAGAGGATAGAACGAATAATGGTGAATTTTTTCCCAGAAATGTGTGCAAATTATTATGTTGAAATTTATTTTTAAAATCCTGATGGATAGACGTTTTAGTGTTTTCACTTTCTTTAATGTTTTTCCTCCAACCACCTGATAAAAAAATCTGTTCTTTTCCAGATGTTTGAAAATGATGATAAAACCACATTAAAACATGATGCAGAAATATATTCCATTCTATTTGTCATTTTGGGTGTTATTTGCTTTGTCAGTTATTTCATTCAGGTAAGCTTTTAATGAATTAAACAAATTTGTACATGATTACTTTTTTATGTCATCCTATTTAAGTTAAAAATAGTAACTAATTATAATGACTAAACAAAATATAAATAAGTAAATGTAGTATCCAAATGTTACAAAGAGATAGAAAGGAGAGTTAAGAATAAATGTAGGTTTTTTTGTTTGTTTTCCAGGGATTGTTTTATGGCAGAGCAGGGGAAATTTTAACCATGAGATTAAGACACTTGGCATTTAAAGCCATGTTATATCAGGTCAGTATTTAGTTGATTTTTTTCTAATTTTGTTTGAAATGTGTTTTTAAATATTCTAGCTTTTAGTTTTTCTTCAAGTCGATTTCTTGACATAATCTTTCCTTTGATCATATAAAAGCATTCTGTGTCCCAAGCAGCATCTACCAGAATTCTTGTAGTATATTTTTCTAATAGAAGCAAGTCCAAAATTGTTATGTTCAAAAATGCAACTGATAGAAAATAGGATTTAGAGTCCACTCCTTGTTGCTTGCATTTATCTTTACAAATCTTTCTTTTAATGTATAATGTAGTGTTCTAGGATCAGCATGGAGGACTAATTAAATCTAAAAAGGAGAGTTAAGAGCTACGGTATCTTGAGGAACATGTTTTAAAAGGAGGAGTTAATTTCTGTAGTTCTTATCCATGTGCACAGCTTAAGTGTTTTCACTGCACACTTCTTAAAGCAACCAATCTCTCTGCTCTCATCAGAAGAGTCTTGAATTCAGATAACATCAGTCTAGCTGGCAGGTTAGCCTGCCACACACAGATAATCATTCACACCTGTGAAATAACTAAAGCTAGGTGGATCAAATAGTAACCTGGAAAAGTAAGTCTGAGGGGCAAATGGCAGGAATGTCTCAGATTGGTACCTCTAAAATTCCTTCAGGAGGCTGAGGTATATTGGGTTACCCTGAAAGCCAGTAATCATTTGGAGCCCTTTGCCACACTTTCTGTCACCAGAATTCACCGTGTAGGAGCAAATAGCTTCCCTCCAGGGTCATTTCTTTTCAAAAATAGTTACTGTCACTCCAGCCCAGTCGTCAAAACCAGTTTTTACATCTTGTGACTTTTAGCAGTAGTGTTCAAAGGACTGCTGAGTAACAAAACTCCTCTGCCTTTATGTGCTCTTAGGGAACTGCAAGATACAAAATGAAGCAAATGGGAGGTTTCCCCTAGCAACTTGATGCTCTGAAACATTTGACGACTAACACCTTCTCTCAAAAAGGTCCTATGAGAGACACTCCTTAATCCAGAAAAACAAAAATCTACTTGACGGATCATAAAATTATTTAATATTTGCACATCTCATCTTGCTCACATTAAACTTGTACTTTAGTTTTCTTTTTTATTTATGAACACATTACATCTTTACCTCAAACCTTTGATGAAATAAAGTGGAACTTTAATTAACTAATATTATATTTCATGCTTGTTGACACTTTCTGCTCATTTTTTTTAATGTACTTATATTTTTCCACATTCAGTGAAATTTATTTTCAATTCCAGGAACTTTTGAAAATATTCCCTGGGTGTTTTAAATGGAAGAGTGTAAACTAACTTTTCCAAGAATCACTTTGAACTTCCTTTCTAGAGGTTCACAGGATGCTTTGGTGGAGGAGTCTCAAGTCCACAAGCCATTTTAACCAGTGGATATTGTTAATCCAATATCCTAATGGTTGATTCTGGACACTGATCCTCTGCCTAGCATTAGCCATGTGAACACCAGACAGTAATGTTCCTGGATAGAGTAACTTCTGCCCCTAAGAATACACCAATCTGTAAGCCATAAACTCTGGTTCTTCAAAACACATGCACACACAAAGACATACAGAGAGAAACTCTGCTATTCAGCAGATATTATTAAATAGTCCCATAAATCCAACTTAGCCCCTTTCAACTTATCATTTGTTTTCCCCCTTCATTCTTCAGCATTCTTCTTGCTTCCTTGCTTTTTTAATTGGAAGAAAAGAAAGGAGTTATATATTTGACCTTTTCTTCATAAATACCTTACCAATTTCACTCCTTTCTCTAGTAAGGGAAGTTCCTAATGTGCAGTTTTGCCTAACTCTTACTACCTGGTTTTTTCCCTAAGATAAGATTTTTTAAGGCTTAGAAAACATGCCGAGACTTGCAGTGCTTTTTATAACCATTTTGAAACCTCATTTGAGGTAGAGGTATTTAAGGAATCAGGTGTGGTCTTTTTGTAGGTATAAAATCTATATTTTATTTGATTACTTGAGATCCTTCCAGTTGAAAAGAATGTTCTAATTGTTGCTGACTTCAGTCGTTGTAAATAATCCATTGCTTATTGTGTTTCAAAGCTTAATTTATATTTCTTAGTGATAAATACTGTCCTGTAGATCTGTTCGGTTTTTTTAAGACATGAAGTTTATTTTTGCCTATTTCTGTCTAAATTGGGTTGGCTAGGGCTTCTGGGTTGGGGGGAGAAGTTCTTCTAATCATAAGTTGTGATCACTAAGAGATCTCAAGAAGCTATTTCCAAAAGGATTTGAGGTAACAAGTCCTGAGTCAGGAGAAACAAGTAATGAAACTCAACTATAATGCTTCAGTTAAATGGGAGGCAGAACAGGATGGTTGATTAAAAACTCTAGCATTTGATTGCCTGGGTTCAAACTTTGGCCTCAGTACTTGCCAGCTGTGGTGTTGGGCAAGTTACTTAATCTTTCAGTACTTCAGTTTCCTCATTTATAAAAATATGGATAATCATATTACCTACCTCATAGGGTTGTTGTGATGATAAAATGTGAAAAGTCATACCAAGCACTTGATCATAGTGCTGCTGTAATTTTTTATTTCTAATGGAATCATTGGCAGGAAAAAAATGCGCTTACTAGTATCAAAAAAAAAAAACCTGATAGCCTTACTTATAATCATTTTACCACCAGGAAGAGAAGAAGCAAGCTAATTTTAACTTAATACCAGCTACATTCCAGAAACTCTGTTAAGTGTTTTAGCACATAATGTCTATGCTGGAAAACAATTCCTAGAGTACATAATTGCTGGCTTGTTCAAAAGCAAGTTTGGATATCTTGCTGACTGAACATCAGATAATGACTAAGACTAGTCACATATGTATCCTTCGCCTTGTGTATTATAGCAAGTTACTATAGAATTAGGAATGTAATATTCAATACTAAATTCTTTTCTATACTTTTACTTGATATTATGTCTAAAAATTCTTTGTATTCCATGTCATGTGAAAATATAGAAATATTTAGAAAATGTATCTTTTTTTGAGTGTATGATATAAAACAGGTAATGCCTTCCATATCAAGAGTGCTGTAGTTATTATCATTGCTGATACATGTTCCAGATATGTTAGGCTCTTGACTGGGGTTGTGTTTTCAAAGTGGCTACTATGTTATGCAGATCATGATGTCTATGAAATGTCTTTCAGGCATTTAGGACCCTAAACTCTTTGGGACACTTTCCCAGTGCAGGGCTTTATGGAGTACTGCTGTCATGCTGGGGTTGTACTCCCCCTAGCCACATTCCTCCATGGGAGCTTTCTTCTCACAAGACTGCATGACTAATTTACAGCTTTTTATCTATTCTCCTTTTGTTTCTCTAGTTGGCAGAAGCTTGTAACCTGGGCATCATCAGTACCGTGGCTTTATGCCCTTCATTTACTAAAAATAAGTCATTTTTCAGAGACAGTCTCCACATAGTTTTAGTCCACAAGAGATATAAGTGGTTTGAGTGCATGGGAGGAAACATTCAATAGCTAATAAAAGGAAATCAGAATTCCTTGGGTTGAGAAGTGCTAAGAAGTGCTGTCTCTATTTGCTGTTGAAAATGAAATTGGTTATAAAAGTATGCTTTTATTGCTTGTATTTTTGACCTGTCTCTTTCTTCAAATTGTATGCTTTTTGACTGCAGATGTTTTACAGCAGACTTTCTTCCTTTTTAGCTTCTCACAATGTCCAGTGCTTATAAGATCTAGGGGGTAATATGAAGTGTCGGGGAAAATCTTGCCTATCTAGGTGCTAAAGAGAAGGAAATAGACTTTTTTAAAAATCATTTATCAGTTTAGAGAGAAAGATTTGGAAATATTTCTGAACTGTGTTTTGCATTACCTTACTTTTTAAATAGAGTCTGCTCTCCACAAATTAATTGTGGAATAAAATTACAAATTACTTGCTAGTTGAAAAAGACCATTTTAAGCACTGATTATTATACAATTTTGTAGCATGGTATTGAGTCCAAGCTGTTGGGCTTAAGTTTTTCCATTTGTATCTAAATACTGATCTTTTTAAAGTAAGAAACAAAAGTTATTTGATCCATAGTATTAACAAGAAATGAATGCCTGTGAGTGAGGAGGCCTTCTGAGTTAATACAGCAAAATAAGTCAGGGAAGAATCTTTTTGATAACCATATGTTAATTCCCTTTTTTCTCTAGGATATTTCCTGGTTTGATGATAAGGAAAACAGCCCAGGAGCCTTAACAACAATACTAGCCACAGATATAGCACAAATTCAAGGAGTATGTATATTGCTTTTATTTTTAAATAGTTTATGTATATGGTATACGTGCATGCACATACACACATGTCTGTGCATATATGTGAGCTATGCTGAGATGACCCACATCATTAAGGATACCAGGTAAGTCTCAGGACTGACAAGGAGCTCTCAATGAAAGATAGAAGGAAGCCTTTCAGTTCTGGATAATTTTAATCAAAAATAAAGGAGATTCAGAACACGTAATAGGATAATCAGAGGACTAAAGAAGATACCAAGAATGAATTAGAGAAAACAGCTCAGAATTAAATAGTAAGACAAGAAAAAATAACAACAAGAAAGCACACACACATAACTTAAGTTTTAATAAAAGAGGGAAGTTTAGTTTTTCCTTCCCCCAGAATAGGATTTTTTAAACATAAGGCCTAACAAGTTAAATTCATATGTACATCTGGAAATGATTCTGTGCTAGTTGTTATACAGATCAAGTTAAAAAGATATGTGTGATTATGTCTGGTCACATTGTGTGTAAATAAAAAGCATGTTTATGTACCATATTCAAAATCAGTGACAGACTGACCAGCACAATGTATGTCAAAGTGATGCTTAAATAAGTATAGGGAGTAGGGTTATATGGAAGAAATAAAGAGTAATTTATTAATTTTCTTCCAATTATTTTAATAAAAGTAACCTTTATATCACAAGGGAGATTTCAACTATGATTGAAAAAAGGAGTATAAAACAAGATTTCCCACTTTTAACTTAAGTGAGAATTTTTTTATCTCCTTGTTAAAATAAGAACTCTAGCAAATTAGTAGACTTTCCCTTTTCTTTATCATGCATGTGGGAGGAAAGGAAAGTCAGTGATGTACCTCTGAATAACAGAAAAGTCTTGAAAGTATTTTTTTCTGTTTAGAAATACCGAATGTTGATTATAGCATTGCTACCAAAACAATGGTCAACTAAAACAGCTCTTCAAGATTGTATTTTCTTTTGGAAACTATTCCCACAGGACATGGCCACTATTCTAACTTTTGTAACTTTTGCAAGACCTCTTTGTTCAATATATACATGCAAGGATATGTTTATATTACCAGAGAATAAAACAAGTAGGTTACAGTTTTGAATATTCACATGCTTCGATATTGGTATGGAAAACTAATTTTATGATGTAGAAAGAGCTCCAGAGAAAAGGGGGCATCATCATCATCATCTCTTCCTGAAACTCTTTTTGAAATTTTGAAAACAAGGCTCTAAATTTCATTAGGCAGTATTTAAATTTTAAAGTAGGCTGAGGAGCTCTATTTTATTGGTATAGGTGAAAAAAATGATGGATAGAATTTCAGCTAATAGTTAAGTAATGAGCATAGCATTAATCTTCCATATCACAGTAGAATTATCTCAATGACAACATCTGTGTTTAGAAATTCCAGGGTTCACTACTTTGGGCAGAAATATCAATCCCTATAATTCCCTTTGAATCTCCATTCCACAAAACTTACTTTTTTTTCCCTTTGCTATGTGAATGTTGTTTCCCTTTGCTTTACTACCTATCATCATTCAGATCTTTTAAAAATCCCATGACATAGGTATTCTTACTAGCAGCTCTGCATTATATGTGAGACATCTCTTTTAGCAAGTATTTACTTCAACCAAAAGAACAAATTAATACTAAACATCAACATCACTCTCCTAACTTTCATTAGTTGTTTCTAATAAATGGCATTGTCTCTCATTGAGAGAAATTACTGAGAATTTTTGTCAGTGTGATTCTTTATAAGCATCTTACTAATACTACTGGTTGATCATTTGAAAATTTCCTTTTGCAATTAGTAAATGTTGGTCTCGTGATAACATCTGGACAAGTCAAATCATTTTCATTGAATGAGAACTAGTAGCTAAAGACTAAATGGCTAGCACACTGATGGCAAATTTTAAATTACAGAATTTAAAAAGCAAAACAACCAGAGAAGGATTCCAAGAATGAGACTGTATCTACCAGCATGTAATTCATATAAACCCTTGCTTTGCCATGTATAGGCAGATTCATATCTAACTTGAATGGATACTCTTTCAATCAAAGGAAGAATTATTTACCAATCCTATTTGTCCACTATTTCTTCTCTCACAAAGACAAACTGCACTAGAGATGAATCAAGAAACAAAAATTCAGGGTCATGTTTCCTATCATATCAACCTAAGTAAGACATATTCTATCTCAGTTTCTTCATCATGTTATTTCAGTTAAATGTTATTTTATCAAATGTATTAGGGTGACTGTTCATAAAATAGCTCATTAATAATGATAAATACTACTTTGAAGCCTTTACTAATGAACAAAAATGTAAGCTCCTGGCTGCTTTTAGGGATTCTAATACTCTGAGAGTCATGAGAAAAACATGTTAGTGAAATAAAGTTATGGGACAAAATGATTCCTGAAATAGTTGATTGAATACAGCCAATTTAATTGATTTTTTCAACCCAAGATAATGACTTACTGCCAGTACATCCGTCAACAGACTGTTTTCTGCGTAATATGTAGTTTTATTAAATGTGTAAGACCATTTTAGGTTCTTTGGGAGACTAAAGTCCCTAAAATTACAAGGTATTTCTGCATGTTTTAGCAACCCCTTTTTATCATTCAAAAGTCTTACCTCACTGTTGTCCACAAGAAAGTGTGTTATTGATACCACAGGGTACACTTGCTATACCACTGACAGACACAATGTTAGTTCTAAGAATTCTTCTCATCAGAACTATAGTTACATTGCCCCAAGAAATAAAAATTTTGTTTATTAATACAGAAAGCCCAGTAGACTGATTAGATAGAACTAGGATAGCATTACCTGGACAGTGGTGACCTCACTTCTTGATTTAACTTTTCGGCATGGATAGTGTATAAAATATCTTACCATTACTTATGAGTTAGACACTGTGAGTAATCATTGAAGTCACTTTACTACCACAGTATAAGGTTAGCATATAATTGCTGTTTTGCTTACAATTTTAGGTTGAATTCATTAGGAGACATTATGAAGTCTACAGCAAAAGTTAATATCCAAAACCATAGTGGTTAAAGATGGTGGTTCTTGTAAAGGAAAATTTCAATCTCAGCCCTGAACTCAAAACATTGAAGTAAAACTTTATCACTACTAAACCCTCAAACTATTGTGTGGGAAGACAAATAAAGATATTCAGTTTCCACTTTTGAAAAAAACGGAAATAAATATGGTTAAGTCTATATGAGCAAATAAACTTCACCATTGAATACACTAGTCGAATAATGTCTGGTAAATTTTTTTATTTTCCACAAAATACTAATGAATAATACAATGAAAAACAATAGGCTTTAAACACCTTACATTTTCAGAAACTTTGTAAATTTGCCCAACTAAGCCTTTTTTTCTTCTACAGGTATTTTTACCACCATGAGCTGTAATACATCTTAGCAGATTACACTTCAGTTTGTACTCACACAGTTTTTTTTTTCAACTTCTTTGAAAATATTCTCACCTGTAGTTCCACATGGACTATTCACAGCAGCTAATTTTTCAGTCACTTCAAACTCAGCATTGATTCCTCAAAAAACCAACAATATTGAGCAGTATCAATAACATATGTCAACCTATCAAGAGCCAGGGAAAACTACTCAAAATGATCTGTCTTGGTTTTTAATTGATGATTGATGTTGCTGTCAGTGTTCTCAACTTTTTGAACAACTGTTCTCATCAAAAGGCTAATTGTCTGAGTTCATGCTCTCTGAACACATTTCTCCCACTATTGCAATCAAACACGATTTAATTAACTCACTATCTGTAAGTGACTTTCTTTGCTTAGCTAATAAATGAGCCACTCAGAAACTTTCTTTAGTTTGTCTCATTTTCACTTTTAAGTTTTACGAAGAAATTCTGCTAAGACGAATTTTCCATTTAAAATTTTCTAATTTCCATGAATATTACTTTCCTGTGAATTAGAAATGTTGTGATGAGTGCTTAGTCTGGTAATGTTGACCTGTTTTGTATATTTTTAGGACTATATAGTATCATGGCATAATGAACACAACACTGTGGCATCTAAGTAGAGCACAACGTGACCCGTAGTCCACTGTGCCTTAAAAGCAGGACATTCAAAGTGCACTTTTCTCTTCCTTTCTTGTGTGTAGATGAGGGACATGCAATGGTAATGTTTAAAACTAAGATAAAATGTCACAGTACAGCAATACACGTGGCACTTAACATGCTACTAAATTATAATCGCATCACAGATTTGTAGCATGCTGAGCAGCAGTACAGAGTGAGGAGAATGGCACATATGGTTTCTCTAGCAACTTCTCAACTCTCATTATAGTGCTAAGACAGCCATAGACAATAGGTAAACAAAAGGATTGGCTGTGTTCCAATAAAACTTTATGGACACTGAAATTTTCATTTGTAGAATTTTAATGTAGGTCTTTTTTATCTTCCTTATCTCAACTTTTTGAATATATGTTATATAATGATAATATCTTTTAATGTCATTATCTGCTAAGTCTAACATTTGTGTCAGTTCTGGATCAATTTCAGTTGATTGACTTTTATGCTCATTATGGGTCCTATTTTGCTGCTTTTTGGCATACCTGGTAATTTTTGACTGGATGCCACACATTGTGAATTTAATATTTTGGGGTACTGGATATTCTTGTATTTCTATAAATGCTCTTTTTTTGTTCTGTGATGTAGTTAAGTTACCTGGGAACAGTTTGATCCTTTGGGGGTCTTGATTTTAAGATTTATTAAGCAGGACTGGAGCCTACTACCAAGGGAAGTCCCTTCTCTACCCAATGCCCAGTGAATCATGAGGTTATCCAGTCAGTCTCATATGACCAAGCATTATTCCTGGCCCTCACTCATGCATTGCTCACTGGAACTCAAGGAGGACTCTCTGCAGATATCCAGATTTCTCTTTCTGTGTACCCCTCTTGTCTCTAGCTTACTTGTGCTCTCCAGACTCTCAGCTTTGTTTATTCAACTTATGGAGTCTGCTGGGCTCTGAGTTCACTCTTCCTACTCTGCAGCCCGAATGCTCTTTCAAGGGGTAAGCTGGGGAAAAGATGGTACCCACCTTGTTTGCTTCCCATTTCTGCCCTTGGTTACAGTATCTTGAAAAATATTGGTTCATATATTTTGTCTGTTTTTTGTTTCTTTCAGATGGGAGGACAAATCTATTCCCTTTCTTCATATTAACCAAAAGCAGAAATCCTGCCATATAGAATTTTATTTCTATAATTGCATACTGAGCTTCTTTTCATTTATTTTCTTATGGTAGCCATTCCTCTGGAATTTTCGTATCAAAGTTGTGTTCCCCACATTTAGCATAGTACCTTAGACATAGTAGATACTCCATAAATAATTGTTATCTTAAGAATTATTTAATTATGCTTTCTGCTCTTAATTTCCAAGAGAAAAATTCTATCTTTGTGCATGTTGCTAAAGAATCTAAGGAAGTTAATCAACTTTTCTCTGACTCCAGTTCTAAATTCTTTCTAAAAGTACATCATTCCTTTAGGTCTTTAAGATCATTTTTTATTTTCCTTTAGTTCTTGTAGTATTTTTCAAGACCAAATATCTGTTGTTTTCTGTTAGTTTTTCCTAAAACAGGAAAATATATATTCAGATCCTTCTTATCCTATTACCATCACCAAAAGGCAGAGTTTGTGCCCTGCCTTGGCTGCACTGACTGAATAGTTCAGTAAGTTTCCGGTAACTTAAGCTAAAATGCCATATAGAAAGTTACATGATCATATTTTAGCAGATCAGTACAAGAGTGGATAACTCAAGCTTATCGAATAAGCAAGGTTATGCAAGTGCAAGTCACTTTGTAGAAAGTTCTTATGTCCCCGAGAAAAAGCTTAAATACAAGACTGTCCCATCAAAAATTTGCCAAGTTTACACTTGGATGTTTTAGAAATGAGGTTGGTATGCATAGTCCTTAGATTAATTTTAAGTGACTCTCAAATATTCATCTAGTGTGGCTCTGTTAAGTACCTCTACCTCTTTCTCCAACACACTACATAATTTTATACACAAAAACTACAATTCTCAGCATGCTTTCTGTCTTTATGTTTCCCGTTTTCTACTTCTTACTTCATTTTCTTTTGATTTACAGTCAAAAGTCATAATTTTTAAAGTAAATAGGATAAAAGCAGAGGAAGGCAGTGAGGAAAGGAACCATCTTATGGCCACCTAATAGGAAATATACAAACAGAAAAAAATAACTGCCCATTGGATATGTTTTACACTTTTGATGTTATAGATATAGTGCCAAGAACTGAGATCTGAATAAGGAAAAGTCATTGCTGTCAAAATATGAAAAGAAATTTTTAAGTGGAAATTAATAAATGTATAAAGGCTTACAAAACATAGCCTCACGTGTAATTAATGGCAAGTAATTTCTTAGTAATATTTAGATAAATGTTATGTTAAAAGAATAATGGATATCTTATTCTTAAAAAAACTTAATTGTAATTTTTAAAAATACTTCTCAATATTTTATAGCAAAAACACATACATTTTATGTGGCTGTAGGAGCATTCAGTAGTTAATGTGATGTTGGGTGGGACCTCCAACAGTACAAGTGCTTAAGTTCCATGCCTCTTCATCCAGCTATCCGATCTGCATAACACTGGAACTCGTGGTCGGGGTGGGAGGAGAGGAGGAAGTACAGTATGTTAGTTTGCTAGGGCTGCCATAACAAAGTACTACAGACTGAGTAGCTTAACGCAGAATTTATTTTCTCACAGTTCTAGAGGTGTAGGGTTGGTTTCATTCTGAGCCCTCTTTCCTTGACTTGTAGATACTTGTCTTCTTGCTGTGTCCACACATGGTCTTTTCTGTGTGCCAGCATGTCTACATCCAAATTTTCTTCTCTTGTTAAGGACACCAGTCATATTGGGGTAGGTCTTGCCCTAAAGATATCATTTTTATGTAATTGCCCCTTTAAAGGCCTTATCTCCAAATAAAGTCACATTCTGAGGAATTAGGGGTCAGGACCTCAACATATTAATTTGAGTGGGGGTTGTGGGACAATTCAGTTCATAATATACAGCATCATTTATCTTTGCATCATTCTTAAACTCTCAAGAAACAGAGTGTAAGTCAGCATTAAATACCAAATGACATTCCTATTTCAGCCTCATAGCTTAGTTAGTGTATAATACCGTAAGGCATTTAAAATAGGTTACCTGTCTGAGTTTTCAATATTTAGTGGTTTCTTTGGTGTTTACTGTTACTTGTTTTTACTTTTTCAGAGTTTTCTTTGATAGTTTAGTGAAAAGTGGGAAAATAGTGGATCATTATCAAATACAGTCTTGAAACTAAAACCACTGAAGTTTTTTAGGAATTAGTCAGAGCCTTGAGGGGAAAGAGGGCTTTTTTATTGTTGTTATTTTAAGGATGATACTAATCTGGGGGGTGCCTCAGTGAAAATTGATGTAATCTTTTAGAGAAGCAATTTGACAATATCTATGAAGAATGCAAGAGTATATATACCCTTTAACATACAATTCCATGCTAGGAATTTAACATTAGGAAATAAAAGATGAGCACAAAGATTTGCACAAAGATGCTCAGTATGCCTTTATTTTTAATAGTGAAAAATTGGAAACAATCTACTAAATATTTTTTGAAGACTATTTAATGACCCAGGAAAAAGCTTGCAATATAATGTAAAGGGAAAAAAGCAGGGTACAAAGCTGTATACACACAATAATCCACATCTGAATGTGGGTATGCATTTATGTCTGGAAGGATGTAAGTTTTAACATTATTTAAACCCTTTCCAATGGCCATGTTTCCATGATCAGAACAAAACGTATGTTTTAAAATGTGAATTCATGTCTTGGTTAATTATAGCTGTTTCTAGGTAAATAGGGGTTCCATGTTTTCATCCCAGCATAAAGGAATATAGCATTTCAGTTTATTACTTATCACATGTCCCACTAAAAGTTAATTCATAAGACATGTTGTTCTCATAAAACAGTTATAAAGCTATTTCTACTTAAGATTTTTTTCTGAATTTCTTTTAATTTACCTTATATCATGTTTCCAACTCCTTTCCCATCTTAATACTGCCTCTCTAGACCTTTGCTGAATGAAACCAAGTTATAAAATGCAGAAAGGAGAATGCAAGGTATCCTATCCAAAGTATACACCTCAAGGAATAACAGTCATTCAGTTCAGCACTACTATGGTATAGTGGCTAGGTATAGTGGCTAGGAATACTGGCCCTTTTTCAGTGAAAGAGGAGCAGTTAAGGCTGGGTTTTGGAGCCCACGTATGGAGAGCTGGGCATCCATGTAAGGAAGCAGCTTCATATGAGAAAGCCAGCCCAGACCAGAGTGAGGAGGATATCCATGCAGGGAAGAGGCAGGGACCATGATAGCAGATTGGTTATGAAAGAGATTGATCACATAACTCTAATAAAGAAAATGAGAGCCAGGTTTCTCATTGTTGAAGAAAAGAATAACAAGGACTGAGAGGAAGAAGGGGGGAAATAATCTTGTGGTTTTGGATTGGAACTGAAGGTATTGCTATAAACTCATGAATTTCAAGAAATGTAAATAGAGAAATAAATACAGATTTCAGTGTGTGCACGCATCCATACACACAGATACACACATGCACATACTTACCAGTTCTTCTCATTAACATTCCACTAATAATGAGCACAACTAGCATTATATATTGACTTCTAAATAACATTCTCCACTAAAAGGAGCCAGGACTCCTTGGAGAAATGACAGATTCCAGGGGGAGGGCCTGGAAAATCTTTTTGTGTCAGAAAGTGAAAACACACAAAGAATGATAGGAACATGTCAAAGAACAACAATATGAGATATAAGGCAGACAAATAAAACACAGTGACTTCTTAGAATAAGACATTTTTAAACTATGAGTATTATTTAATCTCCAAGTATAAATTCAAAATAAAATCTATATATAAATCCTAAAAAAAGAAAGACTACCTTATTTTGCAAGAAACTGTAACAGCAATTCTTGTAAATTTAAAATTAACTGACTTTTTTCCAAAATATATCTGATGTAGGCAACAGGTTCAAGGATTGGTGTCTTAATACAAAATGCAACTAACATGGGACTTTCAGTTATCATTTCTTTCATACATGGATGGGAGATGACACTCTTGATTCTGAGTATTGCTCCAGTACTTGCTCTGTCAGGAATGATTGAAACTGCAGCAATGACTGGATTTGCCAACAAGGATAAGCAAGAACTTAAGCGTGCTGGAAAGGTAAGATAAAGACTGTTGTTAGCCATCATAACATTTTAAGAGAAAATTAATAAGGGGTCCCATCTTTACAATATGTTGACTGCCTTTCTTAGGAATCTATAAATGTATTGTAATTTATACAGATCAGTTTAGGATGAGGGTGGGATATAGACATGTTACAGCAATAGGGTGTGTGATTTAGAGCATGGGCTCTGGAGTCAAATAGGCTGAATTAGAATCCATATTCTATTACTAACAAATATGTGGTATGAGCAAATTATATCAACCTTTCTGGACTTAAGTTTCTTCCCCTGTAAAGTGAGAATAAAATAGTATTCACTTACAGATCTTTATAGAGTATTACACAAAACAGCTAGCATTATTGTTATATGCAATAGATCTGGAAGACTTTAAGCACTTAATAATGTCAGTTGTTGGGGAATTTGTTAACATCATGATTCCCTATTCTCTGATTGTTGAACAATTAAATTTCTTGAACAATTCTGGGTATTTTATTTTTCAAAATAAAAAGGAAATATAATAGTTACTGAATACAAGGCAAGGCACTGATATTGGTAGTGTCTAAAACAAAGTTTTAGAAACAAGGACCATTTTTATACTGATAAAGAAGAATTATTTATTTACTTGGAAAATGCCTTCACATATTTAAGCTTCTCAGGATCAATCATATTCGTAAAATAAACATTGTGGTGGAGATTTAGGAAAACATTAGTAATGTAGTATCATAACATCTAAGAAATGAAAGCAATGTCATTTGCTCCAGCCACTCACCCAAAGTAGGAATCTCTTATACAATATCCCTGTCAAGTGTCTTTTTCACCCTTTCCTCCAGGGCTAGGCTATGTCTTACTTTCCTAGACTGTTGCCTACCCCTTGGATATGGATGGCAGGCAGTTCTCCTTCTCCTTCTCCTTCTCCTTCTTCTCCTTCTCCTCCTCCTCTTCCTCCTCCTTCTTCTTCTTCCTCTTCCTCCTCCTCCTTCTTCCTCTTCCTCTTCTTTCTCTCCTTTTCCTCCTCCTCCTCCTTCTCCTTTTCCTTCTTCATTTTTTTTTTTGGTAGCCTTCTAGCCTTGTCTTCTTGGCTTTCATCTTGGTAGAGGTCCAAAACTTGTTTCTCACGACAGCCTTTAAGAAGCTGCACCATGTAAATGCCAAGTCTTCTCTTGGCCATTCAGCACCAGCTCCTTTAATGGTATAGTTTTAAAGATCTGTATCACATTGGGGAACATCCCTGAATATGAAAATGATTTAATGTCATTATGGTCTGTATCACAGTGACTGTATCACACTACATGAATATTCACAGATAGGGATCCAACCAAGCACAGGACTCAAGGACATCTGGTTTTCGTGACCATTTCCACCTTTCCTGTACCGGATCAGGATCTTTGGAATGTCTGCCTGAGCATTACAGACTGAACTACTTCGCATATATTTGCCTTAAAGACAGTGAAAAGTTGTTCAGCCCTCCCTATGTGCAAATTATCACAATTTCCAAAATAATCTGGCCCTAATTAGTTATATTTACTCATCTTAATTTTTCTGTTATGTACTTTCATTGTATATGTGCCTTTGATTTTTCCTTTTATTATTATTATTGTTATTATAGTAACCTCGGACTATACGATCAGTAACTCCAAACAAATAGGCAATCTGTGTCCTTTCCCACCAGCTTTTTAATTAGTCAATTTACCATACTCCAAAACTTAGAATATGGACCAATAAAACATATTGGTCCTTCTTTGGTTGCATGTGTAGGTTTGGATAAATTATCAAATGTTTTATGTTTCAGATTTAAAATGACCCTATTAGCATTTTTTAAAAGACTATTTTCTAAGGTCCTCTAATGGTATTAGTCCTTTCTCCATTGTAAAAAATGACCACAAGAGTTTTTTGTTTATTTTCCTCAAGTTTTCAGTATGCTTATCCATTTTCACAAACTGCATGTTACAAATGGAGGTTTCTTTGAGTTCGTTTTAAAATTATGAATATTTAGAGGAGAATCCACATGTTTTGACCATAGTCTAGTTACCTAATTCTCTCTTATAACCCAGGTTCTTCAGATAACTTTGGGTATCCACCAGGGTCTTCCTCTGTCCCTCAGTCCACTCTGCCAGCCTGGAAATAGAATGTGAAAGCAGGAAGTTTCTCTTTCAAGGCAACATGTGTTCTCATGTCCAAAAAGTTATTCTGAGCAAAAAGTCTCCTCCATTTTGAATCTGCCTTCTATTTGAAAACTACATAAATATGGATAAGCGTTAATTATATTTGAATGAAATATCTTTTTAAGTTCACAGATATCAAAATGATAAACAATTACATAATATCTTATACAGAATTCAAAAGCCACACTCCATGTTAGTTTATAGCGATGTTCCTGAGTCCTCGGATTGATATTTGCATTTCTGTGCTAGAATAAAATAATTATTTATTTAATTCTCTCTGCTGTCTTCTTAAATTATCTCATAATTCATAGGATATCTCCTTTGCTTAATTGCGTATGAACATAGTGCTCACTAATGTTTGATCCAACTGCCCATAGAACCAGTTTAAATGGAAATTCAGTGAAGACTTGAAGGGGGCTAAATTTAGATCAGTGGATTAAATCTTTTCAAGAGAAATTTTCCTTGAGACTTTTATCCTAAAATATTATTTTCCTATTTTATTTGGGGGGAAAGAAAAAAAGGAGCTAAGAAAACTCATCAGAAAAACTTACTGACTTGATGTACTTAATATGTTCCCATTGTAAGTGACTGGAATTCAAAACCAGAAGTTTAGCCACTGCTAACTTTATTTCTCTACTTTATTGTCTTGTTTTATAAGATAGCAACCGAAGCCGTGGAGAATATACGTACTATAGTGTCATTAACAAGGGAAAAAGCCTTTGAACAAATGTATGAGGAGATGCTTCAGACTCAGCACAGGTGATCGTAGATTCATACTGATTGTATTAACTATAGTTTGTTCCTGTAAACATAGTACTCCTGGATGACTCCAGTGGTTTTCCTCCCAACTACTTTGCTCTGGAATCTTCCCTAATAATGATAACATGTCATAATTTCTCATATAACTCCACCAAGAGACTAGAAGAGGAGTCTGAGAGCAAACACCATTAGAACGTATGTTTTAGATCCTCCCACACTGCCATGAACTATGACTAAGTGTGCATATTTTTCTTATTACCCTGAAACAACATTAAGGAAATAACATATTTAAGAAAGACAGTAATATTGTTCAGCCCTTTATATTGAATCTCTAAAATTTTTCACATTTTAAGATGAATATATATGCACAACAAATGTGATCATTCCTTTTAATTTTGAACTATTCCTCCTTATCACATTTCCTTAGTGATACTCTTTGTATTACTTTATCAGAAAGATAGCTTTCTATTCTTTTACACTCATGCTTTTAGTTGGTACCACCCTTTAATTTCCACTACTTATTCTCTTAGTGCAAGATTAGGATAGAAAATATTTTTAAAACAAATTCCTGTAACTCATTATCTGTCCTTTCACAGACCTTGCCTATTCATTTGAAAACACATAGAGGCAACTTTGTCACACTGAACTATAGTCTATAGCTGCAGAGAAAATCATTATATTTACTATTTTCTCTGTAGTAATTCGCAGTAGTTAAAAAGATCACTTTGTCTTTAATTCTTAGGGAAGAAAATGTACATCCCCTAAATGATAACATGTCTTATCTTCTATATTCTTCACTCTACTATTATTTAAATAATCTCTCTATACTTCATGCCCTATCATTTAGTAAATTTTGTGCATTTCAGAAATACCTTGAAGAAAGCACAGATCACTGGAGTCTGTTATGCATTCAGCCATGCCTTTGTATATTTTGCCTATGCAGCAGGATTTCGATTTGGAACCTATTTAATTCAGTCTGGCCGAATGACCCCAGAGGGCATGTTCATGTAAGTCATATAAATAGATAAACCCTGTAAATTAGTTATGTACTTAAACTAACCAGAAAAATGTCTAGTTTATAGTGCATTATCATTTAAATCATATATGTGTGAAAGACATTCTGGGGAAATTTTTAAAAATTTTGTTGTTATTTAGTATCTATAAGTGCTGTCAAGCTGGTAAAATAGTGATATAACACAGGTAATATGAGTTAAACTCCCAAATGAATTGCTTCCTGCTTCAGTCTACTAGAATGTGGGAATATAGGGATAAAATATGCCTTCCTGTTATCTATTCCTTTTACTTGAGACTTCATGGAACTCCCAAGGTGGAGACAGCTGTATCAAATAAGACTGTAAATCAGTGAGGTGGGTTCCTTGCTAAGCAAATACTCCAGAAGAAACACATGTAAATGAGTATTTCTCTTCAGAAAGGCCACATTTGGAATTGATCATAGCATCCCAATGAAGCTGCCTCTTCCCAAAGCATTTGTTGGGGCTTCTATTTTGGAACTCTGTTCACATAGTTATGAATTTCTTTCCTTCATAGAAACACCTACAATCAACTTCTAAAATTAGAAAAATTAATTTTGAGTGTTAATGCTAAGCTTCCTAAGTCTCCCTAGAATGTAAGATTGTCACTAATCTAATATGCTAAACATACAGACTAGAGAAATCCGTACAATATTTGACTCCAAAAAGTAACTTTATGGTTTTTTAATAAGACCACCAAAACATACACATCAACGCAAAGATCAGCCTCTTCAGAATAATGACTTGAGAGATTACAAGAATGTTGTCAAGAACATTGTCATTTGGCAAAACGTTCAGAACTCCTCTTTGGGATTTACCTCTCAAGACTCAGGAATGTTCTTTTGAATATCCTCATTTGTGGCATGTATTTGTACTTTGAGGATATATTCAGTTGGAGGAAATGACCAAAAGTCATTTGAAGCCAAATACTTTCAGAATAACTTAGAATAACTTTTAGCTCCTATTCATGTGATTATTTATTAATTTATTTATCAAACATTGACTGAGTTCCCAGGAAGTTTCTTTACTAGGCACTCAGAAGAAGAGTCCACAGTTCACCAATCCAATATTCTTGAATCTATAAGGCCACTGAAAGGTTTCCTGAAGGAGATTTCCTTGTAAAATTTCTGTATTTAAAATTTCAACAGAAGTTTTAGGCTCCCTATTCTACCATGTTTTTCTACCCTCTAAAACAATATGCAGTATTGCTTGTGTGAACATATAAACCATAATTATGACATTTAGCCTTAGGCTTCATTCTGATTACACAGATTAGTTTACACAGATAAATTAGTAAGAAAGCAAATGTAGAATTATGTGAATTAATTTATTCATTTCACCAGCCTACACTATATTAGCAAGGTTTGTGCAATGTTCTTAGGTAATGCAGGCAATTACAAGGTTAAAAGTTGGTTGTATTCCAAAAGTTTGTTTGCAAGCCGGTTGTTTGAAACTCAAAACATGTTTTCCTTAATGTTGCTCTAAACTTTCTGCAGCCATCTTTAAATCCCCAGGGCACCATTCCTTCAAATAACTGGTCCTTGGTATTAGTAGAAAGCAAGCAAATTAAATATATTTGTGCTAATACAGAATGTCTGATGATTTTATCAATTCTCACAGACCTTTCCTTTTTAAAAGCAATTACAATCCAAATTCATTTCTAATGGGTTTATCTGAAGGTAGTATAACAAAGCAATCAAGAGAGAACCACCTCATCTTTCCATTACCAAACACATTAGGTACCATATGATCCACCATGCTTGCCATCTTCCTGGAGGAACTTAAGTCCTTTTCTACAGTGGGTTTCTGCAATCATCCCTTCACTTCAATTTCTGTCACTACTGTTTATTTGCTGTATAATTACCTGTCTTGAGAAAAAGAAAGAAATCTCTCCCATGACCTTAAGTCTCCTTCTGCCTACTTTTGATGGCTCTGCTTTCCTTTGTAGCAAAACAAACTCCAGAGAGTTGCCTGTTCTTGTTATATACACGTTTTCACCTCCAATCTTTCTTTAACTCATTCCAATCAAGCCTTGGTTCCCACCGTGCCAATAGGAAGATTCATTATCAGGGTCATCACTGACCTCCATCTTAGCCACCCACAGAGCCAACTGATGTTCAGTTCTGCCATCTCACTTAACTTGACCTCTCAGCAGTGTTTGATAGTCTCCTCCCTGAAACATTTTCTTCTCTAGGACCTTCTCCGTTGATATTGACCCCTCCTCCTCTATTTCCTCTGCTGTCTCTTGTTTTTTCTCCCGGGCCTCCACGTGTTGGAGGGCTTCAGAGCTCTCAGTGCTCTTCACCTACACACTTTGATTGGTGATTTCATCCAGTCTGATGGTTTTTAATATTATCTGTGTCCTGATGACTCCATTCAGTGTATCTCCAATTCTGACCCTACTCCTGGACATCATACGTTTATTCTACTATGTACTGGACATGTCCACTTAGATATCTAATGATATCTTAATGTGTCCAAAACACACTTTGAGGTTTTTCCTCCCCAAAGGTTCTCTTCCCAAGGCTTCTTCATCTTAATAAACAGCACCACCATCCATGCATTTCCTCAGCCCCAAAAACTAAAAGTCATCCTTACTGTTTCTCTTTCCTTCACCCACCACATACAGCACCAAGTCCTAACAGCTCTAACTCCAAAATACTTCTCACCATCTCTACCCATGTTATCCTCCTTTTTACCTTCTGGCGTATCTTAACTGGACCACTACAACCACCCCACTGATGTCCCTTGCCCACTCTTGCTTCCCTATAATCCATTCTCCACACAGTAGCTAGGCTGATATTTTAAAACACAAATCCATTTCCACCAATTTACTAAAATATTGTAATGAATTCCCAATGAAATTTGAATAAAACTACATTCCTTATTCTGACCTAAAAGCTCTACACATTTGGGCCTCTGCCCTCCTTTCCAAATTCATCCACCACTATTTTTTTTGTGTGAACTGCACATCAGCCCCCTACTTGCATTTCTGTCCCTGGACCTCCCATCTCAGTGTTTTTGCACTTGCTCTTTCCTCTGCCTAGAATAATCATTTTCCAGTTCTTTGTTGGGCTGCTACTTTCTCACCAGTCAATGAGCATTGATTAATGTACAGGCCTCTGCTCCTAAGTCCACTCCTCAGAGAGACTTCTGCTGCTTACCCAAAGTAGTCCCCTTACCCCTTCTCTTCTTCACTCTCTATCCCAGTACCATGTTTTAATTTATGTATAGCACTTACCACTATGTGAAATTATCATTTTTGTTTCTATATTTATCAAGTGCATAGACTCTAAGGTCAGTCAGGGCAGAGCTTAGCCTATTTTGGTCACTGATGTTTCCCTAGAGCCGAAAACAAGAACTTGGCACATAATAGACACATAATAAGTATTCATTGAATGAATAACTGAATCAAAAATAAAGGGAGTAATTTGGAGTGGTGCATAATTAAGCAGTCAAGTCATTACTGGAAATATGTTTCCAGAGTCAACTTTTCCACACTATTCCTGTTTTTCACAGATTCTTCTTTGTTTCTTTCCTCTGTATCCAAATGTCTAATACCAGGTGCTTTGGCAGAAGGACTGGGTCTAAGTCAAAGACAGCCACTTATATAAAAAGAGGATGTTTGTAATTGGGAGTCTACTCCTCCATATTGAGAATCTGTTTAGATTAAAATTAACAAAGATTGTTCTTCATTAAAGAATGATACAACTTCAAAATCATGCAATCACTATCATGCCTGCAAATAACATGAGGCAGGATATTTCTTGAAAGGGGCCTCTCAAGACTGCCAACCATTCTGTTTCATATGATAATCACTATACAGCAAATCACGATTGAGTTCTTACTCAGTATTAAGGATTTGTCAGACATAATCTACTTTATCTTCTTAACTACCCTATGAAATACTATGATTCCCACCTTACAGCTGGGGAAAATTAAAACGCAAAGAGGTTACCTAACTTGTCCAAAGTCACTTAATCAGCAAGTGACAGAGCACAGATTCAAGTTCATGAATCGAGGTGCTAGAGGTTTTGCTTAGTAGACATTTATTATTATTTATTACTTTTATTACTAATTCTGTAGACAAACCTTCATAGAACCTTTCTATAAAATTATTGTTTTTTAAATCCTTGTGTATTTTTCCAAACATTTGAATATCCAGAACTGGGCTGATTCTTAACTTAAATGGAACAAGTAACTTGCTTAATGTTATTTTATGACCCTAAAATACAGGAGAATCAGAAGGATCCCCCCCATACAAAAATTTCTCCTCCTACTAGCCTAACACACTTCCTGAGTTTTTTCCATTAAATTCACTATAAAGGATCATTTCTGAATATATACACATTTTAGCTGTGTGAACAAATGTAGGACTATTAACATGAGAGCACTGATTAATGAACAGTATTACATTGGTATTTTCCAGTACCCTGAAGGAAGGAAGAAACGAGGAGCTATCTGAACTAGGGCCACTAGTATCACTTGTTATTTGAGTTTTATTCAGCCAGACTACAAACAAATCAAGGATAACTATACTTCCATAGCATGGACAAAGGAAAGAGGCTCTGGGAAATATGGGTATTGGGCTGTGCACAATGTGAATAGATGAGATTTGTCTTCAACAGCAAAGTCTTCTTCTTTCTTAGAGACCTAAGTGGCCCCCCAACTGTCATGAATGTGTTACAAGTTGTCCCTTTAGACACACTAAATTATACCTGGACTAGAAGACTCTGTGTCTTCCAGAATCTATGGTGACAGACAGCTTTCTGTCTGATCAGCTAATTGAATAGAAGATGTTCACAAAGAAAACTCCTTCTTACTAGAACCCTCTTTAGGTAAAAAGAACTTTGTACCATTCTCTAAATAAATGGTTTCCCAACTCACTAATCAAGAAGCTGGTTAAAACTGCAGATACCTGGAGCTCACTCCACAAATTTAACGCAGAGATTTGTAGATCTGGTGTAGGGCCAGGA